ACACTTCCAATGTCGAAAGTATACTGAAAATGTACTTCAAGCGTAGTTTTTCGTTCCAAAAAAGTACAAAGTTGGCGTACGTTTAGTGTATTGCTTTTTACCGAGGAACGCACTGTTTGGGCGAGCAGGAGAGAGGGTGAGGAGGATCGGAGAGAAGGAAACCGGGAGGCAATGCTCAACCAGAAAATGATTTTGTACAGCGGCCTTGGGGTAGGATTTTGTACGCCAGCAAATGTTTGTCGAGTCACGGAGCAAAGAAACGGAGAGAGAGAAAATAAATTATGGCTGTGGAGAGATTGGCAGCCTTAAAGGGGTACTCCACTGGTTTTTTCATTGTCTCCGATTTGCTTGAAATTTTGCTAAACTAACCAACAAACATCGTGAAAATAGCATCCCAAATATTAGGTCAAAATATTGTTTTTTTGCAAAGTTATTGAATTTACAGTTTTGGTCCTCACCGTGTTTTTCAAGCTCGAAGTTTCTACTGGCAACAATGAAAAAGTGACGTCAGTGGAAGGCACGGGTTCACTCTTTGGGCTGTAGATTTTGTTTTAAACTGATTCAAAGCAGTTTCATGGTGTCAAATGAATGCTTGGGAAGCTCGCTGCAGTACCCGCGCTCCAGCACGGAACAAATGACTGGCATATTCTATTTTTTGGCTGCTTGCTCGACTGGCAAGCCTGCCTGCCACTGACGTCACGGCACTGAAAAGTGCGCGTATATTTGAATGTTGGTTTTTTCATCATTTTCATTTGCCGATTTCACAATACCTATTATGAATTTCGCGATTCTATATAGCATATTGGAGAGAGTAAAGGCCGGGGAGTCAGAAAATATAGTTAGTTAAAGTAGCTCAAAAAATCGGTGGAGTACCCCTTTAAAGACGTCTACTCCATAACTCAGAAGTTCTCTACGTCCTCGAGGGGTGAAAATATAGAAAGGAGTGGAATGCAAAACATTTTGGGTAAAAGTGTTTCACGCATGGTTCCTCCTCTTTCGTGCCTTTGGACGTGTGGCGAGAGGTAAAAAAATTATATTAAAATTATTCTCGTGGCTTAGGGTTTAGATTAGGACGTTGCCTAACCAGCTCTGCCGCACACTTTCGCTTCTCAAGATTATCTCTCGTCTCATACCACGGCGACATTTAAGATGAATGAATCCTAACGTTCCACCTATTCACTCAAATATATGTTGATCCTTTAAAAAATACAAAAGAAAATTCTAAAAATTTTCGGTGGAAAAAGGCTCACAGGTCTATTTTTTAAAACGAGTTGAGCACAAATAAATAAACGTTTCAGTGTGAAATGGAAACTAAATACACGATGGCACACTTACTAAAGCGTCCGACATACCACAATTAAAGCAGATGACATCTTTGACACAGAATTCAATCATTTCGAGAGGAAAGATACGAAGAGCGCATTGTCATATTTTTTTAGTTCAGCAGCCTTTGGAAGTAACGATTTGACTAGTAATCTTCGTGTCTCATATAAGAGAGGGCGACAAGTGGAAGAGTGACTAATGGATGGAAGTAGGGATGCGACGTAAGTGAATAAAACTGTTCCATCGCTGTAAAATTGTCCTCCGTTGGAAACAACTTCCCCCGAAATATGTAGAATGGACACACAAAAAAAGTGCCACAACCTTCGCACTTCCCATGTTGGGGGGTGTTACACGGCACAAGCTTTCGGTCCCGGTTTTCGCTTCTCTCACCACACATTCGAGACAAGAAACGACAAAAAAAGAAAACCATAAACGTTAACGGCTTGCACGACACTCACAGACACATCTCTACATTGTGGCACTTATTGTAACAGCATCGATGCCCACCTCTCGGGAGATCAAACGATTTCGCCGCCGTTATCGCGACCACCTTCGATCTCATCCGCGGGAAGGACAAACCGGAGCTTCGATCGAAGAAACGGAGATGTGAGCAAAGGGAGAGGTTTTACAAACGGTGGCCGCCAGAAACGAGAACAACCTCAGGCTCTCTCGTCCCTTCCAAACCACCCGTCCACCTTAGAAACAGCAGTTTGGTGCTGCCAGAATGAAGCCACTAAGCCGCCGTGTCACTGGCTCCACCTTCGACGATCTGTCGCAAAGTGGGCCTAGCTTACTGCCCAAGATGGCGCTACCAGAGTCACTGTATAGGCTACGCTCGAGAGTAATGTTGCTTCGGCTGAACTGTGGCACCGGTTCAAGGTTGCCAGTTGCCGTCGGCTTCCATGCATGTGCCGAACGAAAAACAAAATATGTCTTCATCCTACGGATAAAGACGGGAGGCGCGGAGTGTGCGGCGGAAAAATGTATGCACTTTTCTTTCTACAATTAATTGCGATTATTAATTGTCATTAATTTGCGGGGCTCACATCCCACTACATTTTTAGCTTATTACAATCTTCTTTAGTAATATTATGCCCGTTGCAGAAAGCAGCCATAAAGCGCACGGTGCCAGAAGAGGGGCATGCCGTGCCCCGCTTGTCAACACGGCCAAAGTCCTTCAGTCATCGGCTGTATTTATCTATGAATTCACCGTACGTATTTGGTCAACGCACTTTCCATGCTGAGTAGTGTCTGTGCACCAATTTCCTGCATTCTTTTCTTATGCCTTTTGTATCTCACATATTTGTGCATTATGTTCATGATCCCCCCTTATGCAACGCTCCACGAGAGCCTGTAAGGTAAATACTACAAATAAATAAGGAAATAAATAAATAAATAAATACAGGGAAAAAAACCCACTTTGCCGGAGGCTGGCTTGCTCCTTCGAACCAAGTGTCTCCATCAGCTCTACTGAAGTTGCGTGCAACAAAGAGGCAGCACAGATGAGCCTCGGGCACACACACAGACAAAAGAACAATTGCAATGCCACCATTACACATGGGTTGCACGTGACATCGCTACATTCTGATGGTCATTCGTACTCCCACTTGCCAAGAAAAACAACAAATTTGGAGGTGTGAAATGTAGTACGCTGCAGAAGGTATGCGCTCGACAGTAAGGCCACCATTATGGCGCGCCAATGAGACGTCAACGCGAGCCGCCGATGCAGCTAGAAGAAAACGCTGCCAATTGGGGCATTCATCGGCGGCCATGGCTGAATTCGTTCGGCTGAGTGCGAGCTGGTGGCAAGCTTCCACGGTTGTTTTCCGACGTGCATTTCACACCATCAAAGTGTCGGTCTTGGCAGCCCATAAGCGTGAGCTTTCTCCGAGCATGCGCAGTGAACCTCGCACTCAAATATGGCGGCCAGTGAATATAGGAGTCCGTGACTGCTGAGCACTACCTGATAACGAGCGCTCGCAGTTCTTTTGCGAAGTGCGCTCCACACCGTCAAGATTGTCCATCCGAGTAGCCTTTTAAGTGCGAGCTCGTTCGAAGTGTGCTCTGCAAAAAATGCACTTAAATATAGTGCACAGTGAATACCTCCTATTAGCACCTAGATGTTTCGGTGGCGCCTTCTTACGGTTTCCGTTCGTGGCGTCATGACCAGGACTCCCCTCGCCGCAACGTCACGAGTTGGAAATCTGGCTACTTATCGTCAGTTGCGAGCCACAAGCTCGATGGTGTGCAAAAAGCACAACAAAAGCTTGGAGTCGCCGCTTTCTTAAAGGGACACTGACACCCCCCAAAAATTTTTTTTCATTTTTTGCCAGGGGCTTTATTATGGTGTCGGAGGACTACCCAATTAATATTTTGCAACAGAGTAGCGTATTTTTTTAATAAAGCCGAAAGACGCAACTGCTCGAAACCGAAACCCGACGGAGGTCGGAGAAGTGGAGAGAAGAGAGCGAGTGGCGGAAGTCACGTGGCTACACCCGACCGTGCGTTTTTTTTTTTTTTTTTCGTTTTTTCTTCTCTCCGTAGCAGACGACACGACATGCGGCGTGCGATTCTTTTGCAGTTATGTTTGTTACGCTCGTTGTTCTGTACTCCAAGATGAGTTGTTTTGTACATTGAGGAGTCGGAGATGAGTAGCGAGTGCCCGTGGTGAATTTCCATGATCGGCTCCGAAAAGAATACACCCAAGATGTTGCGTGAAGAGCTGGCTCACATGTCCTGCGTCCGAAAAAAAGTGGCATTGTGCGACAGAGTTTCCGAAAGATCAACGGGATCGGGACCATTGGCTGGCTGCAATTCCTGTAGAACATTTACGGGCACCTCGGAAAGCGGACGCTACCTGATTTATATGCTCCTTGCATTTTGTGGAAAGTGATTACATTGAGTTCGCAGGTGTCAAAAAAGGAAATCACATACCATTTAATTCAGCGAACTATCGTCCGCAACATTTGTTTGTTATTTTTGTTTATTTCTTCAGTGATGATTGTAAAAAAAGAAAAAAAAAAGATACGTAAACATCGGGAAATGTTTGAAAAAAAAAAAAAATAAAGTTTCACGGGGAATCGAACCCTGTCCTACCGCGTGTGAACCGGACGTCTTTCCCACTGTGCTATTGGGGGATCTCTTTTCTGGTGGATCTCTTTCCTCTGTAATAATTAAGCCGGTAAACTGTAAGTTTGAAAGTTTGCTGTCGATTTTTCTCTAGCAAAAGCACTCCCGAGTCGAAGTTGGGAAGCACCACGCTTTGGGGACATTCGCACCTAGTAAAGAAATCGTACGCGTGCATATTCAACTCGAAGTAGACACGTCGTGCTTGACGTTTGCGCGAGCGATGTCTTCAGCCACGAGAAGGGAGCGACGGCTCGGCGACGTCTTCGTGCAAATCGGCTTGGTGGCCGGGCGTGTCGTACGGGATGAATACCAATTCTTTTGATCAGTCCCAAATTTCTCTCTTAAAGGTAGACAGAATTCGCCGGTACCGCGAACGACAGTTCTGAAATAGAGGCCCCACGCCCGTCGTCCGCTGCCATCGCCGTCCCCGCGAGTCCCACGATACGCGGAACGACGAACGCACAGAATGCTTCCGGTTGACTGTGGAACTTTTTTTTTCAATCAACGTATTTACAGCTTTTTAGAAGCCACAAAAACTGGGTTTCATATTTTTTTTCTATTTTTACTATTGAGCGTGTGCCTTCAGTGACCCACGACTTTGATTAAATTTGGTGGTCGCATCGATACCTTAGAAAACGGCCCGTGACCTCGAAAAAGAGAGTGAGCGAGACTCGAACCGGCCAGTTCTTGATCGGCGGTTTTCGGGCGGAAAGAAACCGAATTTCGAGCCGCAAATTCTGTTCTGGGTAGTTGAGCTCTCATATGACACGTACAACTAAAAACCTCGGCGAGCATAAATACCCTGTCAGTGTCCCTTTAAACCGATATCGTCAAAATTGACAGTCTGATATTGCTCTAATTTCCGTCGACGAAAGCAGAATTAATCGAAGTAAAGGCCGCACGGTGAGCTTTCGGCTAATCGCGAACGCCGACGCTTTCGGCTGTGCACGACACCGACACCCCGAGCGTAGCTATGAAGTGACTCTAGGCGCTGCAAAACTCCGTCGCACAAAATACGCCGCACTTTGGTAGCGGTAAGGAAGAGGCACCTCGCGGCCCCCGACGACGCCATTCGGAAGAAGTCGGCGCTCGAGACTGCGGTCCGAACTTCCCGACGACGGCTCGAGCTTCCTTTTAATCGAAAGCAGGGCACCCAAATCGATAGTTTCTGTAGCCTGGGTGACGGGAAGAGTGTGCGTGGCAGCCCCCCGGGGGTCCTGTGTCCCCGGAGCGGCAGCACGGCCCGGAAGGGCGCGTACGGAGGCAAGCTCACTGGTCCTTCGAAGCCGGTTTGCTGGAGTTGGCCACGCCCAGGGGAATCCCGACGAGCAGCTCCTCGTCGGGGATGTCGTACACCAGGGTGAGGTGGAAGGCCATGTTGCAGACGCAGATGACGTATTCGCACAGGGAGAACCAGCTGAACGCTGCACGCATGGAGAGGCCGTGCTCAGTCGTCGTCTAAAGGCACGTCCAAACACTTGCGTTTGTTTACGACCGAGTTCTCGTGATCTCTTATGACGAGAAAACACACCGGCACGCTGGCGCCATTTACAAGGTGGTCCTGGAACTGCATTTTAGCGGAGCGAAGGTTTTGCGCTATTTGCAAAATATGTATTATCTACCAGCAATGGTTGCTTATAACATTGTAAAAAGTTTTTCAAACCAAAAAAATAATGATGTGCAATAACAAAAATAAAATATACGGAACTGCCAAATGTGGTGCCTGTGTGCTCTTGTCGTAAGAGATCCCAAAAGGTGTTAAACAACACCTTTTGAGTGTAAGCAGTAGCAAGTGTGTGGACCAACCTTAAGCCTGGTTCACACATAAAGAACCCATGCCTCAGACTGCAAGACATGTGTTCTCAAAGGTTCCTAAAAACCCAAGGGTTCCTCAGGGGTTCCCGAGCTGCCCAATGGATGGATGGATGATACGGCTGAACCCTCTAAGGGGGGACACCACCCAAAAAAGTGAATGTTTGAACCACTTGTTTGATTTAAATGACATTTACGGGGATTGTTTTTGTTGATGTTGAGAATATTTCTGACAAATTTTGTTAACCTGAGAGAAGTACAAAAAAAAATTGCAATAGTTCAAAGATGAAAGTGGTCGTGCTTGCAAAGGAAAACCACCTTTTTGAAATTACTTTTAAATTTGCCGTGTACATGTGTTACTGTAAACGACTTACAGCCCCTTCCCCTGGCAAATGCCGAGCGCTCCGCGCTAGCGGTCGTCGAGCGGTCGGCCTCCGTGAGCGATCCGTCACGTGGTCCATCCCAGTGGCACGCGCTGCGGAGCAAATCGAGTGTAACGCTCCCAGCGCCACCGCCGCCACCGCTTCCTGAGCGTCTGCTCTCGCTTTTGAACAGTTGCGGTTCCCGTTGCTATCTTGCTGAAAGCATGAAGTTCTGATCGGAACTTTATGCTTTGACAAAAAATTGATTGTTTACTACTTGATTAACGGTGACCCCGACGTTGAGACACAATTTATTTTTCCTTACAGTTATATAAGCCCGATGAAGACAACTAGAAGTACTTGTACGAGCCGTAGGATGATTAAGTAATACCAAACACGTATGCCGTAAAGCGATCGTCATCTCCGAAGGCGACTTCCATCTGCGGAGTATTTGGTGTGTTGTCTTCTAATTATTCCAAATACATTACAGAGACCACAAAACGAACAAACAACATATACCTAGCTCTTCATCCGAATTGGCGCGCACAACGCCTTCGACGTAACGCGGTATCTTGGGCCTCTTCGCTGGCCAGCCAAACGACTCGGCAAACACTTCGCCGAGAACGGCTGCCTCGTCGTCACTCAAGCTGGAGCTAAGCTGGTATCTTCGTCGCCGTCACTGCATTTTATTAGACCTCCTGAAATTAACTGTAACGATGTCATCGTCGCAGCATGCTCGGGCGAGTCGGTCATGATGAGGGGAACGAAAGAGAGCCCACCCAGCAATCGAAACAAAAAGGCCGCGAAACGCCTTCACTCCCCCGCGCAAATGTCGCTAACGAAACTGAAACGTTGCGAGAGACGACTACAGATCGTACTCCTCCAAAAAAGGCTGCGCGAAGAACTGCTCCGGACCGCTCGACGCGCTCCGCTACTTTTCCACGGAGCGGTTGGAGCCACTCGGTGAGCGCCCCACTGGCTCCAGATCTACAAGCGGCACACAGAGAGATCGCTCTCATCTCGCGAGGGAAACAAGAATCCGCTCGGCGAGCGCGCGCCGAGCGCTCGCTATTTGCCAGGGGAAGGGGCTATTAATTTTCGCAAGGACCTAATTTTTGCAAATTTCGCGAATCGTCTACAATTTGCAAAAAATAGGAATCTATATTAAGATCCCATCGCGTCGCAAATTATTTCATAACATCACCTTTGACCTAAATCGCGAAAAATTGAGCCCGCAAAAATTAAGTTGTTTACAGTATATTGCTTTAGGACAGTTTAGAGCACATAACTATGGAGCTATATTTCTATATTATACCATCTTTCATGACAAAAAAAAAGGACACACAAACACAATTACTGTTTTTTAGATTTCCATTCTTTGTCTAAAATTTTAGTTCTTGAGCATGAAAATTTACAAAAATAAAAATGCAAGCTCGCAGCTATCTTCCCCTCAAAATTTTAACCCAGAAAAACTTATAAAAATGAATCCAAGTTACGTAATAACAAAACGATAGTTTTCCTGAAGTGAAATTTATGCCAAAAAGTGGAATGAAGAAAAATGCGTTCAAAGTACGCAATCACTACCTTTTTTTTTAGCATCGGTGAATCGAAAATAATTTATAAAAAATTAACTATGCAGTGTAAACTAATGAAACTTTCTGGGAATATTCTCTAGGACTTGGTGGATGCAAATATGACATTTTTCAAAATCAAATTTTTGCAGCAATTGTTTTTTCTGGGTAGTGTCCCCCCCTTAAATCGGGCGGCAGCTTGCACCACCTAGCCAAAGCTTCCAATTCAAATCGACTAATCTCCGATTCAGTTCGTCATTCACTATCAACACCATCTCTCGGCACCCGCACAAACAATCGAGGCTCTGGGCCATCATCGTGGCTTCCCTACCATCCCGACTCTGCCTGCATAGCGTTCCCCGTCCAAGCTCTTACAATGTTGTTCTTCTGGGGTGTGCTGGAGGCATTAGGTAGTTCGAAATTAATTACATTGGCAAGCCTGGCTAATAAAGTGACTTCCGTTCTGAACTGATCTGTACCCCATGTTTGCTGTCATTTCTGGCCAATGAAGTGTCATGCCGAATTAATGTTTAATCGTGCAGCAAATGCAATGCGAGCTGCCCTGGCTGCCCGCTTCATACAGCCTAGCCAGAATGTGCTTTAGTGGCGCCCTCTCGCGCCGTCGACACGGAGTGCGGCAGCCGTGAGCGCTCGCTGAGCTGACTACCCCTTGTCTAGCTCACCGCCACTCAAGCGACCAAGGATGTCATGGAGGAGGTTATTTTTTACTCGTTTTTGTCATTTTAACTTGCCTATAACTTTTAAAATAAAGCGAAATTCGACAAAAGAAAAGTTTCACTAAGTTACTACGTTCAGTGCTCTCAGGTTCGGTGCAAACTAAAAACCAGCCAAAAAGTTGTGGCAGGGCCCCTTTAATGCACAAATGGGGAGCTTCATATACCGAGAGAGTGTGACAGAGACCGCAATAGAAGCAGGCGGCGCGGGTGCTGCCATTCCACCACTCGGATAGTCCCTGTAAAACGCTACAATTATTCCAAGATTCGCCGTAAAAACTACAGATTGAAAATAAAAAGAAATGTAATCCATATATTTACTTCAGCTGGCTTCTTATTTATCCGTTGATTGACGGCACACCAGTAGTAGCAGCATCACTTTTCCATAGCCGCGCTCTGCCCGTCATTTCAAAGACAAGTTGCCACGTTTGAGACTACAGAAGAGGGTTGGCGCAATGTCCAACAGGCGGCACGCAAATCTGAATAAGGTCTATTTCTTTGACCGCCCCTCCCTCAAAGTGTTCTACCAATTTAAGCACTATTTTAGAAAATCTGAGCCATCCATCGACACATGACTACATGCCAAACACTCTCCAGTATCTACATTAATGTTGACAAGGTCTTTGAGCTTCTGCGCCGCTTTATGGGATCAATGCTAAGAACGAGAAAGGTTCCTCGGGCACCATCTGAGGCCATAACGGGTTCTCTGAGGCTAAAAAGTTTGGCAACCCTGACACCAGAAACTCGGCAACAATGCTTGCCAGTGGCGTTAGTGCGTGTTTGTTAATCGAGAGTAACCATGACCTGGGCATCGCCTAGATAAGAAATAGCTATTAAGGCCATCCAGGAGCTAAAGAAAAATGTGGCAAAAATCTGTTGGTCTGGTTCTCGAGCACCTCGAGCAGTTGTTACAACATTATTCGGCGCTCTTTCAGATCGCGCATTCGCCACAGCCTTGACCCCAAAAACCCAGGGTAGAGGTCGACTATCCTCGCGCATTTGTGCACTCACTAAACTCTCTGCGGGCTAACCCGCCTCGAGTCGGTTTCTCCGTGGTGCCTAGGAAACATTTGTAATGGGTGTTTTTAAGTCTTCTTGCGCTCTGCATTCATTTTCTACCTGGTGATGTTAAATTTGGAGTCATCTTGGAGAGTCACAACACCGGCGACTGTTTTCGAAACAAAGTAGACCTCACGGTGCAAGGAGACCGCACCAGGTGCATAGTCTGCACACTGTGCATAGTCCGAACATAAAAATTATTGTCCGCAGCACACCTTGACAAATGCCTGCTGTTGTTTGCCAAGTTATGCTAAAACGGGGTGTAGAAATGTCTCGCTGAATGGTAACTGTGGAGATAATGTGACGACGGCAGAGCGTGGGGAGTGGCGCACGTACCCAGCTCGACGCAGTGAATGCGGTGCTTGTAGAAGAAGTAGAGCATTCCCGCACTGGCCGCTAGTGTCAGTCCCAGCAGAGACATTTTGAGGCGCCGAGACTTTTTCTCCTGCAACGAACAAAGGCGTCGGCTCTCGATAAACTGTCACCGTCTGTCCTATACCTCTTAAAGTAACCTTTCGACATAATTCGCGAAGAGAGAAAATCATAAGGATCAAGAGAAAAACTATTGAGTCGGACAGCACGTAAAAGAAGCAAGATATATTTCAAATGGTCAGTGCGAGAATTTACAAACGCGAACAGTAGCTAACGCCTGCCGTAATATACCGAGCAGGGGACGACCAGCGAAAACCCGCTACTTCTATAATGTTTCTAAACTAAGCAAAGGAGCAGTCAAGCACCCCAGACCTCTGAGCTAGTCGGTGACAGGTTTTAGGAGTTTTAGGACCGAACACTGGAGTGGAGGTTGCCTCCTCTCCAGCATTTGCTCTGCTAAAGCAGGAGGAGGTAAGGTAAGCTTCCCCTGAACTCTCAACTAGTGACCGACTATGGCCAACTGTGGGGCAGCCCTCCTTGTTAGCCGCTTCTCCAAGTACCTAGGTTCAAAGCAATGCAGCCCACCATATCATGTGCCCCTTCTGTATTTCTGCTCTTGGAATTCGAGCTACTGACAAGTTTCTTTTTCAAGATTATCTCCAAATTTTAGGTGGGCACTTGCTCAGTATCCTATGGTAGTATAATCAGAGCTTGCCAAAACACAAGGTCCCAGATGCAACTTATCTTTGAAAAGAGTGTTATAACAAAGCAATTTTAGCTATGGAGTCGACAAGGTTGATTTAATGAGGTAAACAAGTCTGAATATTTGGGCACTTCCTTTGAAGCCAACCCTGAATGGGATAAGCACATTGACTATTTTCTGTCGTGCCCTTAGAAGACTAGAATGTGTCAACCCCACATTAAAATGTTCTAGCACAGAGCCCACATTAATTGCCAACAAAATCCTCGCTAGATCTGTTGACTGACACCCTCATTTAAAGAGGGATGTAACATCATGGGTCCATTCAGGCTACGGCAGAAGCCTCAACAGACTCGAGGTAACATGAATTCAGATTACGGCAGTAGCTTATTCAGGCTACTGCTGTAGCCTGAATTGACTAGTGCTCATGCCACGGCAGCATGCCACGGCAGCATTCCACGGCACTATAGTCTATTCAGGCTACGGCAGATAGCCATCCATGACCATGACATCTTTGGGACGTTAGTCTACTCGAGTCTATTCAGGCTACCGCCATAGCCTGAATAGACTACGGCACTAGTCTATTCAGGCTACGGGAGTAGCCACCATAACTCACGAGAACTTTGGGTCTTTGGGAGTCCCAAAGTTTCAGGCACACTATAGCGTGGCTAAGAAATTTGCTCATTTTCCAAAATCTAAATGCATCGCATTAAGGGCCTCTTTGCATTGCTCCTTTTGCCAACGCAGTAAAGAGGCTGCTGAAGGGCACATTGCGTCGCAGTGTCACGTGACATCATGGTGCCAACTGTGACGCCATCAAGGCTGCATGCCACAGACACGAAATCCTTAAGGCTGGCCCTAGAAATGCTACGCATTTAAAATGTTACATGGAAATGTTAATGAAGATTGTGGCAGTGAATGTACTAAATGCATTTCCTTCCTCGATCTCTCATGCACTATGCCATTCCAGTTCCATGTTAGCTCTGAAAATACGGTTAGCTCCGAAAATTAGCTCAATGGGCCTACGTGCATGCTCGGGTACGATTTTATTTCAGCAATTACGCATCTTTCTTTTCCCTGATGTCCGATTGTTTATTTGTTGTGCACTGTTTGGTGTTGTGTTCCCACTCCTGCGATGACCTCAAATGAGGTCGTAGTGTGTACAGTGTGTGCTACACACACTACGATCGCAAAAATAAAGACTATGCGTTGCCAAAAGCTCAGTCTCTGTCCAAATCTGGAGCTATAGCAGTCCGGACCAGATCCCAACATTTCAAAACCGTTATCTTATTCAAAAGTTATAAGTGATTTTCTGATACCTTAACTAGAAAAACCGGCCCTGCTCCCGGTACCTGACGCCTTCCACCTCCCTGTATTCGAGGGCTTTGTGGGTCGCCATTTTTTTATTGAAAATTTCCTAGAATCACTTTAAACTTTTGAATAAGGTAACGGTGAGTTCAGAAACTTTGGCATCCGGTCCGGACCACTAGCACTCCATTTGGGCAGAGCAATGCACTATTGATTTTTGCAGTAAAAAAAAATATCTTTCAGCCTTTTCACTTTGGTGAAGAAGGAAGAGCAGCCGAGCTGTAGCTTTTGTTCTCGACGGTGGCTTTCCAGGCGAGCGATCTGCCCTTCTTTCACAGGAAAATTTGAAGCGCTCGATGCAGTGGAATGTAAGCCAAAAGCGGCCTTGCAGCGATTGTGGACCACTCGCGCTGTTGCGCAAATCGCCGCTCGCTCCGCTCCCGTTCCTCTTCCTCCAGGTTTGCCGCCACCTATGAGCGGCGGCGGCAACCAATTGTCTAGTTGCCGCCGTCGCTCATAGATGGCGGTAGCTGTCCAGAGTTCGGTGTCATCATTTTTTTGCTGGTGGACACAATCCTGGGGAAGCTAGCCCTTAACAGCTCCGCTGTAAAAAACACTGCACTGCCTTTGGAGACACTCGGTACTAGTAAATAACAAATAAAAATTCCAGTCATGCCCACGAGGTACCATGACGAATCGGCACTCGGTGCTGACACGTGGCAGTATTACACTATACAGGGCATTTTTCTTTGGCCGAGCCAAATTAAAAAGAAACAAGGATTGCACTAAGACACTTTTAATTTTGTCAATTGGATCGCCCGACTCGGAGGCCGCTAGAAACAAAGTTGCTCGTGTAATTTGGCAGCTAATTAGCGGAGATATTTCATTTAACTTTTCAGTTATTGACTTTAGGGGGCACATTGCATTTGTGGAATTGTAGCCCAACCTACATTCTAGATGCTCCGGTTACATGCTGAAATAAGTGCAAAACATTAGCCACTATCGCCTAAATTATTTGACCTCTGCAGACTGTTTCCCAATTGGGCAAAGAGTGAAGAGGAGTAATATTCGGATCCAAACGCATCATATACCCCTGATCTGATGCATAGGTTTCCTTTAAAGTGGCAGTGCAACGAGATTCAATTGGAACTTCTTTCACTTCACACAGGCTTACTGGCACTGGGCACCCAAGCACGCTTGCACGCGACGCCACTGACCAATAAACTTCTTCGTTGCAGTGTAACAGACCTTTTCCAAAAGTCCGTGCCAACGCCTGTCGGCCGTTGCTTGCTCAGATACTCTGAGCATGCATGGAACACGAGGCCTGCATCTGCGTTCGGCGTAAACTCGACTCAGCTAGTATCGAAAATGAGCGCTGTGTCAGTGTTCGGCGAAAACTCAAGTCCAATCGCGCGCATCGTGAGCGAGCAGTGGTGACCGCCAAGGTTGATCGATAGAATTTTGAAAAGGGTCCGTTTTACGAATAAAAGAGAGCGTTTTCGTTCAATCTCTCCTTCGTAAAATATGACATAGCTCAGAGGTTGCAGTGTTGGCACATGTAGTGCCCCAAGTGACGATGCTTGAGCACGGTTTATAGATTAGACCCGAGCACTGAGCGAACGCTCGATTTGGGCTCACGATAAGCGTTAGCTCGACAAGCATTTGGGTAGCAACTCGCGTCCAGTCGTTCCGTCGACGGCAATAGCCGAACCCTGACAACGTTCGGTACTTAGCACCCGACTACAACAAACACCGGAGGCGTATAATCGGGTCCGGATCATGTGGCCACTTGTTCTGGCCACAAGTTGAGGGGCAGAAAGCTGCTCATTTTTTTGCAATTTTTCGCACAACTACCATTGCGTGGGGAGAAAGACCGACGCGTGTTTCGTGAGTCGTAAATGTCGAGGAATAATTCTAAGCGGTGTCTACTGAAAGGATGAAAATCGTTGCACCGTCCCTTTAATGGTGATGGGGGAAACTCCTTCGTCACCACGGAACGCCATGGAACGTGACACAACATGTGGCCGCCCGAAGAACCCACTCACCATTTCTGTGTCGTTCTTGTGCTGGCACATGTTGGCCGCTATGCATGTCCCAACCATGTACAACAGGGAAGACACCATGAAGATTATGAAAATTTTCTCGTGTACAGCTGAAAGGGAAGAAAACGAGGTCCATCAACAATCCAGCCTAAAACCCCGGCAGTTCAAAAAGGGAGCAATGGAAGCCTCCGTAGCTTTCACAACTTTAGAGATTACACGCCGACAAGATAGAGGACGGTTGATAGCACTCAACGGACCACTCCATTCCCTGAATTTCTTGCGGGTGCAGTGCCTAGTGAAGAGCAGGCACGATTGACGACCCAAAATCCCGGCTTTCATCAATGCCGGGAACCTGAGGCAACTACCTATTTGCTCTGTTGCAAACATGTCTGGAGGGCGGAAAACGGCTTCTTATGATTTCAGGTGAAGGAACGGACAACAGAATGACTGGCACCAAGATAGCTAAAGCGCCATTACTCTGAAACGTAGCTTATTCAGTGCCAGCTTCCACAATATGGAGTCGAATCATCCTTTTCTCTTTGGTAAGAGTTGTGACCATCCGTTGACAGGAAGTCTGATGCCCGTGCCTCGCCTTATGAATGCAAAGTGTTTATTCCGAGCCCTGCAGCTCGCCAAAGTGAAAAATGTGTGTCTCGACTCGACACGGTGAACAAGTTCCCTGCAGGGTTCTACAGATGGCCCTGTACCCGGTGCCTGCTTTGGCCTTTCGGCCCCTGCCCTTAATGAACCGGTTTCCCTATTTTATGAATACTAGCTTCCCAGTGACTACCTCCAGAAGTTTATTGATTCCAAGCTATTGACGTTTATTGAAGCAACATGTGTTTGCAACTGTTGTCACGAGACAAATTAGTATTGCCACTGGCAATGGCACCAATTATAAAATGTCAAATTAGTATTGCCACTGGCAATGGCGTCAATCGATATAAGCAGATTATTTTGAATCTAGCACACATTTACACTTGGATATTATTTATTTTTATTTTTGGAAAAACAGAAAAGACTAAGATTAAGCTCAGAATTTCAGAGAATCGGGAATCTAACAATTATAAACTCCGATAAACTCTGGGCAAAAAATAAAATAGGAAGAATGCCCTCCAAATCTCACCAAAAATGAACTATGAAAACATGGAATCCTAGTTTTATCCAAATGTCTGTTGTAACCAGGTCTTATTGTAACGAGTTTATAATGTAATGCCTTTTTGTATATGCTATTTACAAATATGTTTTTATTGCATCGTTTAACTTTTTTTAGAGCGTAGGTCCCAAGCGCCCGTTTCTGCGCTGAGCGGTGTCAGCGTCAGCGTAACCACACGCGTTGCATTATAGGACGTCACAGTTTTCCTGCTAAATTTAGCGGGGAAACTGAATTGGTGTTGAGGTCACGTGGCGTCAATTTTCCAGCTAAATTTAGCACGGAAGCTGTGGGAGGAGGGCTGGGTATGGAGGAAGAGGAGGGGAGGCTACAGTGGAGGAGGGGAGGGTACGGAGGAGGAGGCGTGCAGAACTAGCATGTGAGGAGAGTGATCTATATTTGTATATGTAAATATATATATTTCTTTCTGAAATTGTTTAGCACGGTATATCGCAAAATCAAAATACCTCAAGAGCTGCACTCCAATGTCTCATCGCAGAGATCTGTAAATGTCTTTAATTTTTTTTTTTTTTTATTAACCCACACCCTGTAATACCTAAGGCCTGATGGCACTGCAGGTTCCTTCGTAAATAGACAAAAAGCTTCTCACGCATCGAAAATGCTCCCCAAGTGGCAACAAATGAAAGCAAGCAGTGTCACGCTGACAGATGTCGCGATTTCGGCAGGTGGCCGTAGAAGTACCGGAAAAAAGCCCGAGAGTACGCAAGCGTCGTTGCAACGTCCCGGTTGCCGAAGCTTCCAAGGACCGTTGAGCTGAAGAGCGAGCTGCAGCACGACAGGCGCCTGCCACACCCGCCAAGGTTTTTATTTGTACATGACATATCAGAGCCCAACTACCCAGAACACAATTTCCGGCTCGAAATTTACTTTCTTTTCGCCCGAAAACCATCGATCGAGAACTGGCCGGTTTGAGTCGCTCTCACACTCGTCTCTGTGGTCACATGTTGTTTTCTGTGGTTTAAACACAACCAACAAAGATAATCAAAGCTGTATGTCGTCGAAGGCACACACTCAATATTAAAAATAGAAACAAAATATGATACCTATTTTTTGTGGCTTCTAAAAAGCTGCAAATACATTGATTGAAAAAAACAATTTGCACAGTCACGTGATTTCTGGCAACACCCTCCTTCTCTATATTTCTTCTTCCTCTCCAGTCTAGTTTCGGTATCGGTTTCGAGGAGTTTCATTTTTTATTTTCTTAAAAATATACACGACGCTGTAGTAAAATACTGATTGGGTAGTCTTCTGGCACTATAATGGACTGCCTAACAAAAAATAAAAGAATACATTTTGTGGGGGAGGGGGGGGGGGGGGTCAGTGTCCCTTTAAAACCTCTTGTGATCTCTCACGAGAGCACACACTGGCGTCGCCTATCGTGTAGCCGGGAACAGGGGTTTTCGTATACAGTCGCTGACCAAGTTTTCGCACTTCGCAGGGTCCGAAAAAACGTCCAAATAATAGAGCAGTCCGAAAAATCAGCAGATAAAAAAACTTGCCTTTATTACGTCTAAGCAGGCTAAGCCGTAAATAGTGCCTGCTTCAGGTTTCGCCTGTGCGCCTTGTGTTAGGTTACGTCTCCGTTTGTGTTCGGCAACCTTCTGTTAGCTTGAGAATCGCTGCCTTCTTTTCTAGCATTATGGTCAAGTACTTTCTGCGCTTCTTAGCGACACATTGTGGCGGCGGAAGAACAGATGGGGCAATGACGTCCAAGCCGACGCAGTCCGAAAACATGATACACCGAGACGAGATTGAAATGAGAGGTGCCAGCCCACAACTGCAGTGGCGAATGAACAAAGCAAAATGGAAACAACAACAATAATAATGACGTGCAGCTGGATAAAGAAAAAAAGCCGTACAGTGCCACCTAGCAATAGGACTTAGCAGTATTTAAGTAGCGCTGCCAAACCAAGCCAATCCATGTGCAGCCAACAGAGAATTCCGAATGGCCGCTTCTCGGTGGTGTTTCCCGCTGATCGCTCGCGATGATCTTGTCCGAAAATGCAAACTTCTGGACTTCAAGCAGTCCAAAACATGGGTCATGAATATACACTATTTCTAGGGGTAAGTCACGGTTCCTCCTTTACTAGGTCCGAAATATAGAACAAGTCCGAATTATCGGCGTCCCAAAAATAAATCGGCGACTGTATTCCCTATTTGTTTTTGTCGCCTCATATTTTTTATTGGCTCGTAAAAATCTTTTGACAATGTTTCAAATGACCACGTCTCATGGGTTGCAGGTACGTATGATCCCACAAATACTGCAAAAGCTTCGCTTCAGTGAAATGCAGTTCTGGGGTGATCTCACGGATGGCGCCAGCATTCTAGCGTGTTCTTGCGCCATAAGAGATCCCAAGAACTCGGTCGTAAGCAAACGCAAGTGTGTGAATTAGCCTTAAGACGTGTTCATTGCACCATCTGCCTCGGCGACTCTGAGGCAAAGCGCCTGGCTACGGCCTCAAATTCTAACCCTGGCCAAGGTGCGAATATAATGACCGAGGCTCATTGCAAAGAAGGTGCCGTGTAATGGAGATTTCGGTTGCACGTCGGAAAGTCTCCAGGTGGTCGAAATGAATCCTCGGACCTCCGCTGGGGCGTGCCAGATGCCCTTCGTCAGTTTGGCCCAATAGACCCCCCCAATTTGACTCGGTGTTCGCGGCAGCTTAACTGGAAGGGACCTCACGGTAGTTCTCCCTGTTGGAGACGTAGGTGACCCCGACGAGGGAGAGGGCCTCGGTGAGGTGGAGCAGGTAGTTCGCCCTGGCCAGCCTTAGGAAGAGGGGCCTCCGGGGAGCCTCCACCAGCAGGGCCCTGCGGCTGTAGTAGCGCGGGTAGAGCGACGCCAGCAGCAGGCGGGGGCCCGTGTGCAGCGCCACGCCCGTGCGCCACACGTAGCGCTGCGGCGAGATGCCCGTGATGGCGCTCACCGACGGGCAGAAGTTGTACACCTGCAGGGCACACCAAGGAGACATGTGCAAAGCGTGCAAAGGCCTGGCTTCCACAATCTACCCTCTTTGCGTTTTTTGACCAAATGACTCGTAACTGTTCCACTAATAGCACACTTCCCTTATAACAAACTTCTCTTTAAAAACATGCAAAGAAATTTTTTTTTTTTTTTAATGCCGTAGATGGAAAAAGGATGGCATAAAACGAATTTACGATAAAAAACTTTCAGCCTTCCCCCTCTGGTGAAGAAGGAAGACCAGAGAAGCCGTACTATGGCGGAAATGGACGATTTTCTTATACTCTCGAACATCAAAATATTTTGTTAAAAAAGAAGAGCAACAAAAAGGACAAAAACAAAGATTAATAAATAGAGCCTATAGGAAGCTTCTGAAAGAGCGCAAGCACCACCCGACTATAGTGGTCAGTCACGTGACTGCAGAGTCGCCAATTTTGTGCAGGCTCCCGCGGGCACCAACAACAATTTCGTTTGGTGCCATTAAAATAGTGCTCATGTTTGTTTTTTTTTGTTTATTTTTTAATTTAGGTAGTTTAAAAAAATTGTTTTTCCTTTGCATCTGTTTATTTTAAGAAACTTCTGTTTAAGAGACCTTTGTCATGAAAAACGTGTTATAACAAATGTCTGTTATAAGAAAATTCTGTTTAACAAACTTCTGTCACAACACCTTGTAATGCAAGAAGAAATGAAACACGAAGGACAGACGAAACAGCATGTTTTATTCTTTCTTGTATTTGACTGTATCACCAACGTGCTGAACCAAAGTTACAACAAAGAGATATGGAGGAGGTGAGAAATTTCGAACAAGGCTTATAATTTATATGAAGAATTCAGTTTTACAAAAAAAAAAACAGAAATGATAGACAACGCCAGTGTCGAAAATATGAAATAGGTCAAAACAATACCAAAAAAACTTTCAGCCTTTCCACTCTGGTGAAGAAGAAAGACCAGCGAACCAGTACTATGGTGGGATTGAAGTAATGGCCGTCTGCAAGTCGGTAAGCCAGAGTGGGAAGGCTGGAAAGGTCGTTGCCATCTATGAGCGACGGCGGGAAGCAGACAACCGGCAAACACAACACTTTGGACAGCTACCGCCATCTGTGGGCGACGGTGGCAACCAGAATGTTGTGTCGACATTTGTTTGGTACTGGACACAATCCTGGAGAAACTAGCCCTTAACAGCCCCGCTGTAAAAGCAATGGCTTCTGGAAGTTCTTTTTCTAAAGAGAAGAACTGCTTTCATCAAAACACTTTAAAAAGTATTTACTTGGTTCAATGGAAAAAAAAAAAAAGCCTAATTCAATACAGAGGAACTGGCACAAGCATACAAAAACATACGCTAAAGAAATAAAAATTTAAAAACCTAATTGAAGGTTTTAGTTAATTATAGTTATCTGACTGAATGAAATATGGTATTTTTATGTTTGTACCCCACACCTGCAAAGGCCAAGTAAAAAAATAGATAAAGAATGAATCAATCTTGCCTTTTTGCTATTGCCCCCACTCCAATTTAGCCCCAGGGCTCAAAAACCCCAATGCAAGTTCCCATCTTTCTTTTTACAGATTCCGGTCCCACTATGAAGGCAGCCTGTATACTGTTACACGCACAATGTTGCGCCAAACATCAACCTCCAGCTATTTTCCCCACATTTAAAAAGGAATTCCGGCAACAATTTATTTTTTTTTTTGTTCCTCCGAAGTTTATAGCTTTCCCGTGGCACATCCGGTGCAACTTGAGCGAGCAATTTTTTTTTTTTTTTCTGCCCTTATCTTACTGGACTACCTTGCAGGCAAGCTCGGTTTTCCATTCATGCTATTCGAGGCTCCTGTCAAAATATAGCCGGGTGTTTAGGGCACTTCTTGTGGCCTGGGTGAAGGGGAATCTGTTTGCCTTGGCCACCTCCGTGTTTATGTCACGCTGCTCTTCCCTGGCATGGACTGTTTTTAGCCCAGCCCCTAAGGATAGAGGATGCCAGCACGTGGATGATATAAAGGAGGCTTGCTGCGTATAAAGAAAAAATCTCCGCACTTCCGCTTCTCTTCCTCAGACGAGATTTGCATGGTTGCTGGCTTCCCTCAAAATTCATTCGACGACACACCAACGGAGACGGCCGAGCAAGTAACCAAAAGAAAAGAACAAAATTATATTTTTTGCGGAGTGATTAAATTTTTACATTTCGTCTTCATCACTGAAGCTACTGAACACACTGAAGAAGTGACAAATGTGGGTACAGGTTCACTATGTGGGCAGTAGAACTTCCAGCAAATTACAAAAAATCTGATTAGTGTGAATGCAACAAATGTGTGAAACATTCTGTTTCTTAGATTGCTCGCTTGACCCGCAAGTTTTTTGATGTACGACGTCATGACACTGGAAGGCGCTTGGAAATTTGGAACTTGCATTTGCCCTTTTCTCATTATCTATTCTGAAATGAGAGATAACTAAATAGCATGCGGGGAAAAGTAAAACCAATGTATTCGGACAATGTGGTTAGTCCGCGTAGCTAAAAAAGAAAAAAAGAAACACCAGAGTTCCCCCTTCATTTTTAAAATTTGACAGAAGAAACACCTGGAGTGCCATACTTCAACGACTCGGAGACTATGATAATCACGCTTACCATATCCCCTAGTCTTCCAGGCTTCTTCAGCTAACTGTTTTTATTTAGATTTTTTTTTTTTTTTAATTTAGAACAAAGAAGTCTATCAATTCAACTCCTGCAAGTGTGGGGCTGAAAGCAGTGGAAAACATAGCCAAAATCCTGTGGATGAGGAATCTGTCTTCATTCAGCTTTTGGATTAAAATCTGAAGCATTGCCCACTAAATTTAGTGGGAAAAAAGATGCACATTTCGTCCCTAATGTTCCACCTCTTTTCAGAATCAAGCTCCCTTGCAGCCCAAGTGGAAAAGTGAAATCTCCGTTAAAACATTAACCCTGCAGCCATCGTTTCACACTTTATCAGACTTCTCCAACTAATTTTGAAGATTTAAAAACACTCATTATGATGGCAATCGTTACCTGCCATGAACGGCTGACTCCTGTAAGCAGAGGAAAAACAAAAAGATTTGAATCGCTACACTTACTAAGAGAACTGCTGACACACCGAAAAAGTGTGTTTGAGACTTCCAAGCAAACACATTAGGTATATAGTATACAGTACAATGAAGTTGGATATTTTGCAAATTTTTTCAGGTGCTTTGGTAAAAATTTCATACCTTTGCAGGCTGACCAAAGTTCCCTTACAACCCCCCCCCCCCCCCCCCTCCGCTACTGCTAATCAAACCTCAGTGTTTCAGGCATTTCCTTCTGACAGACCTCCAAGCACTCGGACCTTAGTTGGTGGGCGGGAGCCCTACTGCGGTTGCCCCCAATGTGTCGACGGCTGACACAGGTGTCGGAAGTGTCCAGCTGAGATTTGGCTGGAATGCTGAATTCTCCGGGTGATCTAAACTGACCTTTCGCCCACTTATGCCAACATTCTCATATTTTGGTTTTACCGCATGTTTCAAGTGTTCGTCAAAGGCCAAAAAAACAACTACCTAAGTAGTTGTTTGTTTCGCATTTCTGCCGAATAAAGATCCGTCAGCGTCTTTGACCCCCGTTATGCGAGCATCCCCTAAGTGCCACTGATACCAATCATGATTGGCCGGGGTTCTAAGACATTCAGACTGCATCTGCGCTCAGATCAAGAGTCTCTAAAAACTGTTCCGCTTTAGATGACAAATACCATATACAGAGACCTTCATTATGAAAGCGATCAATACTCACACAATTTTCTGGCTGCAAGTAGTACAGCCTTCCCATCGGACGATAAAGGCAAAATTGCTTTGTCGGACATTGAATGTTTTTGATGCGTCTAAAATGCAGTCTTCTTGGCAGTTCCACAAATCAAACAGATAGTAGAAATGCACTAACAACAACTTCTTTGCTGGCTCAGCCAAGAGTATGCTTTGCAAATTCAAAGTATACACCATCATTTGTTTTCTCCCACTGTTAGACACTGTTTGTAATGTTATATATATATAAAAAAAAAACATTTAAAAAAATCCTGAGACATAAAGCATGTGCAACTTCAAAAGCTGAAATTTTAGAACTGCAAACCAGCTGTGGAAATATTGCCACCGCACTATAGTCACTGCTGTTTTAGTTCTCTTAATTCTAGATGACATGGGACAAAATGTTAGGGGATTAGGTCTTGACCTGGAAATCATTCAGCCGTCTGCCAGAACAATCTGTGATGCTGTACTGCATCACGTATTCATAAAACATTCAACATACACAACAAAAAAATTCTCTAAACAACATGCTGAAACTTACAAGGTATGCATGCCATGCCATAACAAATTTCATTCGTTAATCTTGTATCATTTTTAAATCAATGCCACGCTGTTGCTTTCTTGAGTTTGTTTTTTCCCCTTTGTTTTGCATCATTATTCGAGAGAGAAATTAGCAAACCTTTTGCTGTTTCTCTGGTGGTGGTGGTGCAGAATAGTGCATTATTGCGCCGTTCTTCGAAGCTGGTTTATCAAAATGGTCATGTTTTACCGAGTTTCCTTTATACTAATAATTAACATTTATTTAGTATTACATTATCTCGTTTGAGAGGAAGAAGCAAAATAGTCAAACAAGGTACCTGCATCTGGACCTGTGCTACAAATTCAGCTATATATTGATGATCAATTTTGCATAATTAACAAAGAAATCCATCCAATATTTGTTTAAATTACGATAACTAAAGAGGGGCATGGAAGACAAACAGATACCAACACACTCAACCATCCACAATTTTTTTTTTTTTTCAGTTGTAACATACTAAAATTAACTGAAGTGAAATATGCACACACCGCTTTTTCTGTCTTCCAGCCCCAGCGACTGCGAAAGTGTACTTCGGAGAACTCAATTGTTGCCCAACGTTCTAAAGAAAAGATACCTGCGCAACGCTGGCAAAATTTCAAAACACAATGAAAGTTGTAAGAAACAAAAAACAAAAGAAAGAAAAGAAGGTAAACAAATTACAAACAGAGGCTACCAAAAAAAACTTATGCGGGTGAAGCAGTGTACCCAAGGCGCAGCGTCACATCTCTTCGAACCCGTGCCAACCTCCCCCTCTCTGAACGCTGCCGTTTAGCTAGGTTATCTTTTTTTTACAATTTTTTTTACAGCCCGTGCCTTCGATTATCATTCTTTCTGTACGCCGCAACCGTCGCAATCTCCGTGTACAGCGTCCAAAGGCAATTGGAACCACCACATTTCAGAACTCTTTTTTTTTTTTTTTTTTTCACGTACAGCATTTGATTCGAACGGGCTCTCCCAGAACATTGTAACCACTGGTGACTCAATAGAATTTAAAGAATTAATACGTGCAATAGCGTTCTAGGTATGTTTGGTGTTTTTTTTTTTTTTTTGTGTGTGTGTTTGCATACTAATCTTCTTGTCGATTTTTGTTTTATTTTACATATGCAAATTTGCTTTTGTGACATTGTACCCTTCTTTTGTTGATGTTTGTTGTATGCCACCCCTTATGTAATACCCCCTATGGGGGTCCTTAAGGCCCATTCACACTCTTGCGACCTCTTAAACCTGGGTTCCTTAAAACTTCATAAACCAGAGAACACACTGGCGCCATCTATTGGGAAGCAGTGTAAACTCGGCGGTCCGGCATATTTTTTTTATTTCTCGCGCATTATACTTTCTTTCTTGGCTCGAAAAACTTTTGTCAATTTTATAAACGAGCCTTTCTATGGGTATTACGCACATTTGACCTCGGAAATCCTGCAAAACCTTCGCTCTTGTGAAAGGCAGTTCCAGGGTCATCGCATAGATGGCGCCACAATGCCAGTGTGTTCCCCGATTTTAAAAACATTTAGGAAGTTTTAAGAGATCTCGTCTCTCTCAGTCGTACTCGGTCGCAAGAGTGTGAACGGGCCTTTAAGGTATTTAAATAAATAAAAAAACAAATAAATAAGCGAACGCGATGTTGGCTTCCAAGCGAAAAACCTCGAATCCCTAAAGTCGGCCTCCAACGCTTAGCACGCGAGCGCTGCGGCGAAACCAGCTTGCCGGAAAAAGCTTGGCCGAAACTGCATGTTCCGAAAACGACGCCTTCCGTCAGAGAGCGAAAGCTGGTTTCACACCAGCACGATCGACGAAAGTAAGGTCAGATTTGGGTACCCAATAAAAAAAAAAAAGCAATAAACAAGATATGGTCTCGCGGCAACTAGCACCAAGGACTCTTTTGTAATGCGGGCCACAAAATGCATTATGCAGGGGATGATAATAGGACCGATTCAATGGACACGCTGAGCCAACCGCGACGGGGTGCGTGACTGGGCACCCGAGATCAGCAGCCCGCTACACCCGCAAACGCCAGTAGCCGGTTACGTCCGACGCTTACCTGTTTTTCATTTATTGTTTTTTTCTCAAGAAAACCGATAAGTTTATCAGCCGGCAATCAAAGTAGCGTGCAATCGATGCAATTTCTTTTTATGACTTGTCGGAAACTCTCGACTATTCATTTCGATTAGCTCCATTCTCAAATCGTAAAGCAATTTAATATATGTATATATCTTTCTTTTTCTTTGTTTAACCGATAATTCCTAAATTTAAAAGCGCGTAAGCTACGAGGAAAATACGCGGATCTCTGAAGACAATCGCCAGGTTTGTTCACCGCTAAAACGAACAAAAGCCCGAACAAGGACTGCCTTCCTAACTGCCCCTTTGAGCCAGCACTTTAATAATAATAATAATAATAATAATAATAATAATAATAATAATAATAATAATAATAATAATAACCATGCTGAGGATAGCCGCGGTAGTACAGAAAGGCCGCGGTAGTACAGCCCGTACCATATAGGCCGGCGATGCCGCGTCTACTCAAGGAGATTAAGCGATGATATCTACGAGGATGTAGTAGAAAAGGGATAGAGGATATAAAATCAGACTCACTTTACACACGGTCGTGTTGACGGCCGTGTACTGGAACAGCATAGAAGTGGCAAAACAGAAGACGAGAGTGAACAGAGGCAGGGCGACTGTCAAGTAGGCCAGGTTCAGAACCTTCACCCGTAGTAGAACGTGCTCCATCGGGATCGGCGTCTCCATCGTCCTGCTCGAGGAGGCTTGGCCGCCCGATGCGTCTCGAGACCCAGAGAAACCCCGCTGCAGCGCGCTTCTACGGCCGATTTCGACCGAGTCGAGATGTTAGAAGCGGCGACGACCGGTGCGCGAAGCTGGAGACGGCCGTCGGACTGTGTCTCATAGTCGGCGTCCCTAGGTGCCGGGCCCGGCGCTCTTCTTGCCCGTGACGGAGCGCATGAGTTCGGCGGTCGCGGTGCCTCGGCCCGTGAGGTCTACTTGGGCGGAGAAGGCGGCACGGCGCCGACGGGGCATCCGCCGATTCTTTGTCCCACCATTGGAAGATCCGACCAATCGACGCCTCGGCCCCACTCGGAATCCCTGCCGACGACCGAGACGGTCAGTGGCGCTAGTGACGAGGCGGACGAAAACAGTGGACATTCAGTGGCTCTATGAAAAATGAAAAGCGCAAAAAAAAAAAACGGTTTCCAAACATCCTAACAGACAACAATGCTTTAAAATGTGTGTCATTCAAAATCGCTCGGTTTAAAAAAAAAAACAAAAAAAACTCGGTTTTTGTTTTTTTAATTTACTAATGGTTGAAGAGAGGACGATCCGAATCAGTGGTCTGAATGGTTAAAGTGTCCTTTTGATATTTTATCAATAAAAGATTTTTTTTTTGCTCTTTCTTGCTTACTGGCCAATTGTTGGCTCTGGCTAGGTAGCGCAATACACCGACCAATTTTAAATAGTTCAGTTTTTCTGCTAGGTGTCCAGCAGCGCCGCTCTGCAGCGGATTGAGATCAGTGAGCGGATTCGTCCACTGTGGATTCGTCCATCTATCCACCTATAAGCCAAACGCTTGACGTAAACAAAACAGCGTGGTTCGACCGTTCGACGCTCCGGTTGTCGCCTTGTCGCCATCACTTGAGCAAGTAAGTGCCGCTTTCCACTGCCCAGCAAATCCAAAACCGGAGAACATTTCGCCAAACCTGCGAGATCAAGGCACACACACACGTGGCTATCCCTTTGATTTTAAAAGCTCGCTGTCATAGCGGTATGATGGATGCCGCGCAGGAAGGGAGACAAAACGGACCTGGCGAAAATGGTCTCGTAACATTACACCAACAGTGCGACGAACGCAGCTTCACACCCCGTAGCTGGCGCGATCACGATCCTGAACACTACACGCGGTTGTCGCTAACAGACTCACGCATGTGTACCCGCTTCGAGTTCAGTTTCGAGCTATGGTTTCGAGTCATTGCAGCGCGAGGATCTTGGGAAAGCTAGGGAACAATTCGCGAGCAATATCGGAGTTGCTGGGAAAATTGCCCCGTCTGAAGTTCAAGCTAGGGATGTCGCAAACCATCCGAAGTTCGAACTTGACGGTTTTCGAACTTCGAAACGGGTTCGACTTCTCAAAGTTCGGAACAATCGTAGCTGCCCGGATTCGAATTCGCAAAGTTCGAAGTCATCGAGGTTTTTAGAAAATTCGAAATCGACGGTTTCAATTTTTTTTTTTAAGATTGAGGTTCGCAAGATTTGACGGTTTTAATTCCTGTATGATTCAGGTTCGCAAGATTCAATCATTTCGAAATTCTTTGAGCTTCAGATTCGAAAACTTCAAAACTATAAAAATAAAATTTTGGAGCCTAAGCTCGCAAAGTTCGAAGTCTTCGAACCTCACGAAGACCGGAGTGGCCGTAAATATCGCAAGCTGAGCTCCAAACATTTTACTACGAATCTTACACGTGCCGTAAAGTTCATTCAGTGTTCGCTGCTTAGGTACTACTCGATACTGGCCACAACTTCTGGCTGGTGGGAAAGACGATGCTCATTTTAAGGCGGGCTATTTCTCTGGCGGTCCATGGATCGTGGTACGGAGAAAATAGTCGGCCACAGACAAGAATAGAATCAACACAGAACCCGACACAGCGAGAGCGCAGGCAGCATTCACCGACTAAACTCGAGGCCCCCAAAAATGCGGTCCAACAGATTCCCCAGAAGCATCCAGACCTTGTTAATTTTTAAAGGGGTACTACGGCGATTTTTGAGCTACCTCAACTAACAATATTTTCTGACTCCCCGGCCTTTACCCTTTCTGGTACGCTATTTAGTATCGTGAAATTCATAATAGTTATTGCGAAATCGGCAAATGAAAATGATGCAAAAACCAACATTCAAATATACCCGCCCTTTTCAGTGCCGTGACGTCAGTGGAAGGTTAGCTTGCCAGTCAGGCGAGCAGTCTAAAAAATAGAATATGCCAATCATTTGATCCGTGCTGGAGCGCGGGGACTGGAGCGAGCTTCCAAAGCATTCATTTGACACCATGAAACTGCTTCGAATCAGTTGGGAACAAATTCTACAGTCCAAAGAGTGAACCCCTGCACTTCCAATGACGTCACTTTTTCGTTGTTGCCAGTAGAGGCTTTCAGTTTGAAAAACACGGTGAGGACCAAAATTGTAAATTCAATAACTTTGTGAAAAAAAATTATTTTGACCTAATATTTGGGATACTATTTTGGCGATGTTGTTTGGCGAGTTTAGCAAAATTTCAAGCAAATCGGGGACCATGAAGAAATCGGCGGAGTACCCCTTTAAGCTACTGCTTCAAACACAAACAAGGCTTTTTATGTGCACTGAACAGCGTACGGTCAACCTTAGTGCACATACCCAAACACTGGTAACGAAATTTGGTCCTAAACTCGAGCCAACGTTTCTAGATTCTAAAAGCTCCTAATCTAAAAACATTCACTCGAGTGGTCTGTACTGCTGTCTGCGTGTCTTCCTCCGATGGAGCGACAATGGACAATGGACTAAACTCGAGAGTCGAAACCGGTGGCTCGCGCGCCGTTCATTCGGCAGAAGGGCGCGCCCCAGACATACTCCATTCGCCGCTCCGCCTTGAGCCAATTGCTTCTGCGCGATTCTTCTGGCCTTGCTAACACGAGCATGCACGCACAACCAAAACACCGCAGAATGCAGCGACCTGGCGATGAAGGCAGAGCTTCTCTCGGCGGTTGCGTCGCATGCTTTGCTTCTCCGAAGCTACAAATAACGAAGTCGGGGCAGTCGACGCCACTCTGGGCTCGCCAACAACGGGAGAAATAGGCAAGAAGTTGTGTGGTGACTCCACCTAGGAACAATGGATAAAAGCTGCGGCGCAAAATTTTGAAATCCGACGAGATTCGCAGTTTGTCAAACTTTTCAAGATGGCAGGTTTGAAAGTCTGATACTTTTTAAACTTTACAAGAAACAAGTTCAAAATTTTGAAAACCATCGAATTTTTAATTTAGTAAGTTCGAAAGTCTGGTAATTGCAGATTTCTTAATGCATTAAGTTTGAAATAATTAAATTTTTAAATATAAGGAGTTTGAAAATTCAAAATTATACAACTTACAAAGGCAAACGTTTGCCAAAGCGAAACTTCTCGAATCTTTTAAACCTTTGAACCTAAAGTTTGCGGCATCTCTACTTCAAACACGCGTGAAGCGACACTTTGCCACATAAAGCAAGTCAATCCGCTTTCATTCCTTTTTTTTTTTTTTTTGCCAGGGGAATGTTTTTTTTCTTTTTTTTTTGGCACATTCGCTTGTGTTTTTCACCGAAGCCTAGATACATAATGTTTTGTTTATTAGGTAGAGGCTAACTGGTGACAATAAAAACGCTGACTAGGTGGCACAAGCTAATCCATCTATCCATCCAGCATCCAAGTTCTTGGTAGCAGACGGTCATGGTTCCCATCCTATCTGCCTAGCCTGCGAGCAACCCTGTAGTACATTGGCCTGCCAGGAGTGAAGGTCATTATTAATATTATCCCACCAAACAGATGGCCCTTTTCTCCCTGGTAAATTATGTCATAGGCAAGTGCTGTTGAGCTGGCCCTTTTTTCAACTCGTGGTTTACCTCTCCTCCAACGTTGCCAGATTGAAAAGTGGTCCTATCGAAATTTCACGAAACACTAAATTTATCATAAAGAAACTCCTGAAAAAGATCAAGCATTCAATGCAGGAATACATAATAAAGCAAGAACATAAATTAACCCAATCAGTTTCCTGCGCATGAGCTACAGTGAAACGAAACGGTCCAGTGGAGCGCAAATGTCAACATGCTCATTGCAATGCCACCTTAAGGGAGACGAAAAAGTGTTTTGCACACAATTCACGCACTGGCCACTTAGAAGAATACTGTCGAGAATGGTTACAACAAAATCGGTTATAAAGAAATAGGGGCTACAGTGAAGCGATCACGATTTTCCATTCCCTTTTGCACTTGGTTAACCGAAGTCGGTTATAATGAAATGGCGGATATAGCGAAGGGATTTCCGATTCCCGTCGATTTCGTTATAAGCGGTCTCGATAGTATTTACAAAGTGTGGTTGTCAGAGAAAATAAAAAGAATATTTTATGCGCTCGAAATGTGTATGTTCCGATAAAATAGCAAGGACCTAACCTTAAAAGCACATACCAGGGCCTGTTTGCTGATAAATGCAGGTGTCTGCCCCGGCGGCTAAATTAGCCGCACTAGGAATTTTCTGGTAAACATGACCGGCTTCCTGGGGACAAGGTACCTATAAAGATGGCTCCGCATCAACTGCTTTCTGCTATGTCATCGAGGGTAGCTTTTGGAGTATTGCAGCGAGAGGCTTTGTCTCGCGTGTCATTCGCACACACCCTGGTGCGAGGGAGACACCAAATTAAGTGACACGCTCGCACGAGTAGCTTTGATAGCGTTGGAGCACCGTGGAGGCTGCGCCAGTCTTGACTACGCTGCGCAAAAATAGTTGACGCCGAGACAGGCAAATGGTTGCCTCGCTTCGCTTATTGAAATCCGATACTGCACGCATTAAAAGGGTGAAGAGGCATTACATGTAAGTGAAATTGCTCAGATTTTTGTGTTTTAGAAGTGGCATGTAAGGTTTCCTTTCTGGGGAAGGTCACGTTAGGTGAGAAATGAAGTAAACGACAGGCGAGGCTTACATCTTCCGAGCAGAGTCAGCTGGAAGGCTAGGCAGTTCCTTCCCTCTGAGCCGGTCAATTGAACAGAAAATCTCTCTCGAGGCTATTCAAGCCGCCGGGAGAGCAGACCGCCCCAGGCGTGTGCTGCCTGGCGTGCCACTTTCACATGTACTCCCAGGCAGGTTGCTTTCCCCTAAAGGATTTTTCTCAATCCAGCCTCTATGATCTGTGGCTGTACGGCTCAAGCGAGCAGCGGCCACCAACCGCAGACAGTTGCGTGGGGTCACGAGACGGTCTTCCCCAGATAGCGCCGGATTTTGTCTGGTGCTTCGGTTCACTAACCAGGGCACCGAAGGCTCGAGGATTTCACCGGACTTTCCGAGCCCGGTGACAAATTCCACCGTCTGACAGCGCTAGGTAGACACTGCTCTAGGTACATTTGGTCCTTGTATGATGGTCCCGTGACGTTGGTCGTACGAAAAGTGTGCTGACATGTTCGAAGCTTGCATATGTATGAAGCCAACATGCTCGGAACATGCCCGGGGCATGTTCTCCGATAATTCTACCATCGTGTCTGCAGCAAACACTGCGTCTTTTGTACGATGTACGAGCAGTGTCGGCGGCTTAAGAGGATGCGGCCGAAACATCTCAATGCCAGTAGAGAGGAGCGTGTGTCGCGTGACCCTCTGTTTCACCGAGCAATTCTGTTTTCCCTGCAACTCGAAGGGCTCAAGAAATGTCCGACAGTGAGGACAGCAGTAGCGATGGCGAGGAGGACGTCGGAGCCCCGCCGGAAGACCAGGTGCCGGTGGGCGACTCGCCGGCCGACATCACGTTCGACACCATGTTGACCGACGTCCGGTGCCACCCCTCGCGCGACGTGGTCGCCGTGGCAACCATCGACGGGGACGTCAGCGTGCGCTCCTACGCGCTGGACGGCCCGAGCCACGAGCTGTTCCTGCTCAAGCACCACAAGGCAGCCTGCCGCAAGCTCCGGTTTTCCGCGGACGGCACGCTGCTCTTCACGGTGTCCAAGGACGGCTCCTTCTGCGTGCTGGACGTCAACACCGGCGCCGTCTCTCATCACGTACAAGAGGCGCACGAGTAAGTTCGGGTAGAGGGCCCAGACTTACGAGAGCGAGCAGCTCAGACCGTGCAGAGCGCGTGCAATCTAATGGCGGATGCTTCCCGCACCGATTGGTAGGACGTGCACTTTCAGACGACGAACGCTTTTGTTACCTCCTCGCAGCTCACATTACGAGCGATTCATAAACTCCGTGACCTCAATCAAGCAGATGGAAACATTGTAATCTCGGCACACCGGGGCCTCTGGGATCGCTCATGCGCAAAGCTTCGTCAAGCCGCTACGAGGTTTGACAATTTCATTCCTGGAATGGGCGCGGCGTGATGCTGGGGCGGCGAATCTGTCAAACATATGTACACGAGCAGGTCATCCGAAAATGTTCCAAATTGTGCTTCATACAAGAAACGTCATTGGCTCCGGAGCAGCGGAGGAAGTAGAACTTGTCTCTTTTGTACTGGTGGCGGAAAGTAAGTGACAGGATCGGGAGAGGCGGATTAACATCTAGTTTTGTGTGAAGATTGGTAAAAGTGCCCGTGAAACGTTAACCCTATTATTAAAGGGTTAATGCCTCCGGTAAAATATTGATGGTCATCGATTTTTATAAAATTTTCACCCTGCACTATATATTCACCCCTTAGTATGTCTACAAAATGTCTCATCAAAGACAGTACTTTCTTTCGAGAAATCTAATTTTGAAGTTTGCGTGTACACCTCCAAATCGCTGGTTGCCGCTCTACTGGCAGCAACAATCGGGGGTGTTCGTGATGTCGAATGTTGTATCCGAGAGCAGACAACTCTCCCTCATCCCTTTCATTGTTGCGATAGTGAACGTCTGGGGTATTGTGTCTGGTTTAGGCTATTTGCGGCATGTAATGGAGGTTAAAGAGAATCGGTGATGTGCTGTGGGGTGCAGTAACACTACAAAGAAATGCAGTAGAGTGACACCTCATCGGTTTCTGACCGAAAAGTCTCTGCGACAAAAATGGGTCCCAGTATGCGGACGCGAACGCTGGCTTCTAGCATTCCCACCGTGCTAGAGAACAGTTTGCACTGTGCTAGCAAACAAAGCCTTCCACACCATTCTTTTTCTGAAGCGGCGTCTGGATCCGTATGTCGGCGGATCACAAATGCAGCCGCCACGAGTGGCGGTTGCATTTGCATTTCCGAGTTCCTGGCTAAGAACTTTGTTCCAAAAATGGACCATCTGCCCTATTCATCCTACTTTATCCCCAGCAAGTTTTCACTCTTTCCAAGATTCAACAAATGTCCATGAAGGGCAAACATTTGCCGACATTCCTGACGTACAGCGTAACGACAGAGTTACTCGAAGGTATTCCAGAAAATGAATTCCAAGAATGTTCGTGGCAATGGCACCGTGTTTACTGTATAGCTATGCCTCTAAGTTTTGCCAGGTAAAATCCGCCCTCTCGGTGCACATTCAATTAAAGTGAGCTATGTGCAGGTGTTGGACTTTTTCCAGGTCATTTCACAGCACTGGGATCCATTGTGGGCACCCTGTGGCATGGTTTCCAACCACTGATGTCTTGGAGACCCCTTCTGGATTGGTGGAAGTGATAGGGGGATCCACCAGGGGGGAGGGGCAGTATTAGGCCATTCCAATGACAAAAAGTTAAATTAAAAAAAAATTAAAAAAAATTAATTGCGTGCAAATCAACTTGGAAGCATTGAGGTGGAGAATAATCGATCCTGCTGATTTGATGGGCATGTTTCGGTCTATTTAGCTTTGCGGGACAGCCAGAATCAGTTAAAAAAGCTTTATTGCTCGACTTGACCCACAGCCAAGGGCTTGCCGGACTTGGAGAAGGTCTCCAGGGACCACGGACAATCTGCGAACCCTCTGGGGTCTTTTGAGAACCACCGCCCTGCAGATATGAGCAACGGGATAATGAAGCCCGACCTGATGGTCGTCTCTTTCCCCGTCTCATTTTTGTAGAATCAAATGTCGCTGCAGCTGAAAACATGTTGTTAAATAGTATATGAAAAAACAAACACCATAACCTGTATACAAAAAAAATATTCTCATATTTTTTTTTAAATTTGATTTGAGTAAGCCCATTCTTTAGTAGGTTGAATCTCGTTAATTCAAACTCTCTTAATTCAAACTTGCGGATAATTCAAACTAACATGCAGGTCCCATCCTATGCGTCTCTACGAGAGGAAACTCCCGGTAATTCAAACTTTGCTTTATTCAAACAAATGTTCGGTCCCCCCCAAGTTTGAATTAACGAGATTCGACTCGATGCATTGCACTGGTGAAGTTTACATACTCACTGCACAAAACCAATCTTTTTGTCCGTTTAAAGAGCGTTTAATCCGTCCGGCTACTGTTGTACTACAGGATACAAATACTCTTGCCAGTTTACCGTTGCTGTTTGAGACCATTTCTAGTAAGAATTTATGCAAGCTTCATCTCGCTGACCAAGGCCAGGAGCACAGAATGTGTTGAGCACAAACCATGACATCACATAACATCAATTTCACCGCTAAATTTAGCGATAAAATTGATGTCACGCGATACCCTAACATTACATAATGTCAATTTTTGTGCTAAATTTAGCGTAGTTTTGGATAGAATGTGACTGATAAAACACATTCTGCATTAGAATAGGCTCCTTGACCGCATACTTTTTCCAAAGACCCGAGTTGTTTCTCCCCGCAGAAACCCCATCTACAGCTTGTGCGTCATCGACGACTACCTGGCGGCCACCGGAGACGACGAAGGCTGCTTCAAGGTGGGTGCAGCGGCGTTGTGCCACGCCCACCGGATGACCATGCTCCTTCGATAGAACCACCCTAAGTGAGCTAGGCTCCGGAGTAACAACGCTTCGGCCATCTTGGCGCTTTCGATCACGGTTGCCGTACAATACTGAGTGAGCACCCACTCAAAAGTTGGCGACAATTACAAAGAAATGGGGATGGGCGCACCTCATTTTTAAAACGACTGCGACGCTCGTCGAGCCTGTTTTGCGTCGTGACATTTGTTGACCACAGCAGACGGACTTCATTGTGCGCAAGGAGACGGTGGTGGGGCGTGACCATGTGCCTACTTGGGCTCTTTCGCCCGGCTTTGGAGTGGGCGGACACGAACAGAAAGAGTTTCAAATAAGGACCCAACGCGGATGGCCGATTTTCTGCCGTGCCCAATATTTTGACGAGCCTCGCAGGAAAAGCATGTTGTTTGGGCCATCTGACGGCTGTTGTTTTTATTCCCCATAAAAAAGATGCTATTTTGGTATTCAGTGCCCTGCCAAACTTGTTTTCCCATTGAGGTGTAATGGAGCATAGACAACTGTCCTTCCCAGTCGGCAGTGTTTACTTGTCTCGTACAATAACTAACTACCTCATTTCGGCCAAGGTCAGCATTAGACAAGGGTACTGCAATTACTTATAAGCTTTCAGTTTTTTGTCTTTTTTTAAAATAGTAAATAATGTAAGACGTGAGAGTGGGTTATCTTTCACAATATTACGGTATTATTATTATATTCTGTAACATACTTCTTTAGTATTTTACATGTTTTTCTGCCATACTGGACAAAAGCTACCCGTTTGTGAGCAACTTTCGTAGGTAACTTTTTTTTATTTCAGCGATTTATTTTATTTTGGATTGCTTCAACTCCAGTAAAAATTTTCTAAAAACTTCCAGTATCTTTTTTTCTTTTAATTAGGTACTTTGTTATCAGTGCTACCCAGAAGTTCTTGCTGGCTTCGACAAACCGGCCTTGTCATCTTTGCGCTCATTCTGTACAAATAAATTATTATTATTATGGTAAGTATTATTATTCTTTCTACCCTCACTCTATATGTTCAATATATTTTGGATGACCTCGCATATAAAACAAACGATGTGCACCCTTTCTGTATAGGTGGTGAACTTTTCGCACTTGATCTTCTCGGTGTTTTTGTGCCACGTCAGCTCTGGGACTACCGGCGCCAGGAAGCCGTCATGGAGAGCAAGGAGTGCGACGACTTCATCAGCGACATGGTCGTAGACGACGCCAAGAAGACCTTACTCGCGGCAAGGTGAGCAATATTTCTGATTCGTATCAAAGCTTGCTGCAGGGCTGGTCCTTGGGGCCTCATTGGGGCCGTTGAATGAGACATGCTTAGAGCAGACAGTGGAGGGAAGCGTCCCGGTCTTGGAAGTCAAGACCGGCACTTAACTTCATTGATGCAATGAAGCAGTTCGGAAGCCTACAGACTTTGTAGGCAATACTTCACGTACTGCGGCAGACTCCCATTAATTCAGACTCCGGGAAGCCGGGAGTTTTGTTTGAATTATGTGAAGTTCTAATTATCGCAAACTTATCTAAATATGATGCGAGATAAAATTATGATTTCTTATATGGATGGCCACAAGTACCAAACAGGTATCCAATGATTTCCTCTACACAGGCCTACTAATGATAGGCAGGTGTGCCACGCATGAAACATTGGTGAAATGTACGAGAAGTTCATTCATCCTTCAGAAATGTTGTCTATCGTGGACTGTTTAGACAGCACGTGACACCTCAAAACAAAATGAAGGTTGTTCATCCAGAAAAAAAAAAAGTTGTCTTTTGTGGACTATTAGCCCTGTTGGGTGCGCTTCTCGATGAGCACCTGTGCTCTGCGGAGAAGCGACGCTCGCGGAAACGAGTTTCGTTGGTGTGGCTTCTCCGCAGTGCACCGGTGCTTGGTAAGAAGCGCACTTCACGGGGCCGCGAGAACAAAAGGTATAAATCCCGTGAAAATGCTCTTCGAATTAAGCGGCTTATAACTCCATGAAAAACATAGGACAACCAAAATTTATATTTGTTGGCTTTGCCGGAAGTATGAAATATTTGAGTTTGAATTATCGCGAGCCAACTGTAGAGTGTGTTTGGCTTACAGTTATCATTGATGATGATGATTAGGGGTTAAGTGGAATTATCATCAATGGCTGGTTCAGATTCGGTAAAATGGTGCCTCGAACTAGAGGAACGTTGGGTAGGGAGGGTCGATGACATTTCGGAGCTCGGGAAAGCCATGAGGTCGCTCTGGGGAGCCCCGATTTGAGGGAGTATTGGCACTTCAATGCCCAACTGTTTCATGTTTGTCATCATTTTTGTTGTCTAGTGTCAAGCGGGTGCAATAGACCCTTTCCAAAATTCAGTCTGGCCACTTCCACAACTATCATCATCATTATCAACAGGTATATCATCTGTACATGCTAATGGCGGCCTTTCGATGGCCGACAAAGGAAGAATTTGAAGCCGGGCACCGATGCGGAGCCCAAACATTCCAGACGTCAATTCGCCATGTTGTCATTTGGTACCACAGTGACCAGACTTGTAAGCTTCTGTGTGCTACGCATTCGAGGGTGTCGCGTAAATCCTCGGAATCCTCGGCTCCGGCACGTTCCGGACATCTTGCGACAATAAAATGTCGCAAATTTTATCGAGAGCTTTACTCCACAAAGCGCCTCACACAGAGTGATGGTTTCTTGACACTATCGGAACTGAAACAAATGGAAAAATAACCGCACGGTGTAGAACACCCTAACTTTTGGAATTCTGCCGTTGACGAATAGATACTACATTTTAGCCGCCATTAGCGTACAAAAGTTTAGACTGATATTTGAGCCACTAGATGGCGCCAAATTTGTGAGTCTATTGGCGATAGTTACAATTGAAAAATGGGACTTCCCGCACTTTGGATGCGGTGTCGAAAAGCTCGGGTGGCACCGTCTTGCCGCGTTGCGGGCAGTTTTAGTGTTTCTAGAGTCCGAAAACATGTTTCCTGCAATTTCCGACAAAGTTATGTATAATCAATTATCGTTATTCATTAATGATTATTTGTTTATTAAGGAGAGACCCTGGCCTTTTCTTGTCATTTCTCTTCCAGTTTACATCAAACTTTCAAATCGACTATATTTGTTCACGCTAAGCACGAACATACGCTTATTGTTTTCCTATCTGTATAACCTCATTACAACCGAGTTTGGTCGGTCTTCCTATCAATGCCAGTGAGCTAACTTCCTTTATTACAGATTCTGTTGTAACATACATTAGGATATAATGATCTCTGTTGGGAGTTTGTAACTAGTAGTTGACCATTCCATTATAGCGGACGGTTCGACAGTAGTCATTACTTACAACATTGCGCGGCTTTTGTTCGGTACTGGCAGCATTCATTTTTGGGAACTGCTGTCATCGCGACCGGCGTCGAACCGGCAATTCTCTAATATTGATTCTCGTTTCGTCGGTCTCGCTGCCTAGAACAGACTCCAGTCATAATCCACTTCAAAGCCTGTAGAAAAAAGTATCTGTGTTCCGCATACTCCTTTTACTGCAGACCAAAATCTCCATCACCCTCCAGGTGTGTTATAAGGAGTTTATACTACCCAATGCTTTTACCATAGCTCTAGAGCCCTGCATATCTGCGGATTACCTACGGATCATCCGCGGATATCCGCAATAAACTGGCAGATACGGATAAAAATGAATCAAATTTGGTGGATTCCGAATCGGATACGGATGCCAGGGGCTGTGGATGCGGGTCGGATGCAGATATCCGCGGCTCAGGATCAACATTTTTGCCCAGGCGGCTCATAAACATGTGCGACCACCCAGTGTAGAGTGAATAAGTGAGACCGCTTTAAAACTTCCTGTCTCGCCAAACATGCTATTCCTAGAAAACGTAAAGAATGCAAGAGCATCAGTCGTCCCAGGAAGGCGTGTTTTTGTTTGGCAGGGAAAGAACGGAAAACGTTCATAGGGCAAAGAAAACCCGAAACGTACAAGCCACAGGAAAGTAGAAGAAGCCTGCAAGTAAATTGAGGAAACTGAATTCGATCCTCTGGAATGGTGGAACTTGTGCCAGCACGAGTTCCCGCACCTTCTTCTTGTAGCGCTGTTCGTGCATGCCACCCCAGCTTCAAGTGCGCCTACGGAGAGAGACTTCTCGTTAGACTGTGTTAATTTAAAAGAGGTGAACCAGTCTGAATCCGTCCACGTTGACGATGTTGTTTCTAACAGCAACCTCGACAAATGAAACATTGCGTGTGTGTGTTTTCTTATTTTCGACAGTTGGCACAGGGTTGTTTTTAAATGTATGGTTCTAGGCATGCAGTTGAGGGTTTGCGTTTAAAACTGAAACGGATAGGAGGTGTTGCCATTATTGAAAATTGTGATATTTCCCCAGTGGTGTACTTGTGCCTTACCACATATACACGAGTACCTTGCTGCAGGAAATGAGCACCTCTCCTCTCCCACTTTTTTATTGTCTGACCAAAATAAAATTACACAATGTTATTAGGCTGTGATTTGTACATTTTCATCTTTATAAAATAGGTGTCTGCTTGAAGGTCTTACAAAGCAAAAAGGACAATAAATATTAAAATTTTCTTCCTTTTGAGCGAATCTTTTGGACAGAGTGTCAGTGTCACGGACTCCCAAGACGATCTCATAACTGCGATCATCTTTCCAGCGATGCGAAGGGTCTCTGGAAGGACTATTGCTTATTTTATAAATACCATAAAACAGAATACGATAAAACGACTTTCACCGTATTCTGACACAAAGAGCTTGTTGTATAGAGGTAAGCAAACGGCTTATGAGATACCATCCAGATGCTTTTTTAATTTTTATTCACGATTGATTTCATGATGTAAAATTATTGTGCGGATTGAGTGGGATGCAGTTCCAAATTTTGCGGATGCTGTCCGGATGAAGTTACAATCTCTACGGATGTGGATACAATTATTTAGGAACATTGCGGATGCGGTTTGAATGTGGATATGAAGTCTGGATGCGGATGATCAAATGGTTATGTGCACAGGGCTCTACGTACCTCCCTCGCAAACTATTGGAGAGTACAACGAGATCATTCTTATAATTTTAGCATCATTCTAAGAAAAAGTTTTCACAAGTTGAATGTTTTTTTGCTAATAATTTGAAATAAAACATTAAAGTCTTTGCCATTTAAAAAAAATTAAAATTGTAGTCAACATTTTTTTTAGAAATATTAGTCTCGTCGCACTTCGATTTTTATAAGATATCCAGCCATGACAAAAGTATTCAGATCCAAATTCTAGTAGATCAAAGATATATGGGCAGAACTTTCTGTTGTGATGAAAAAATTCTGAGAAAACAAGAAAGGCCTAAACATGTAACCTTAAATCGACGTTACTACATGGATGTGCACTTTTTGAGTGTAGTAATCAGAAAATATGCCATTTGTATAATTTAAAGATAAGGAAAAAAATGTTTGAAAAATAACTTTTTTTTGTCATTTTCAGTTGCCAAGACCAGGGTCTCCCCTGGCTAAATTTCATCTAGCATACTTAGCGAATGTGCATCCCGCTAAGCTATGCGGCCATGTGGCAGTTTTTTGTGCCGCTCCTTTGTGACACTACGCTCATCTCGTGAGAGTGAGCCCTGGTATAACACATCCCGTGTTCAAAGGATGCGGCCCGAGTTGGGATGCGCTACGACCGCTGTCCATAAGCTGAGATTTACACAGATAATCTCATTGGAATCAAAGTTATTTCAGCTCAAAAAGCACCATACTATTGGATATCGGCATGCCCCAGCTTAAAGGGATGTTGAACCGAAATCTGGATTCCACAAAACACGGCGGCAAATGTGTGCAACGGGATGCTACAAACACCAAAACATCACTCATGCAGCGATATCTCGAACGGATGACCATATTTTTTTAAAAAAAGGAGGCGCATTTGACATATATGTTGACGTCTTGTTTCTCCGAGAAGAGTCGAGAAGGAGAGGGAACGGCCTCACGTCTTCTCCGCCTCGCCGCCTTGAGGGGGCGAAGCGAGGAGAGGAGGAAACGAGATATCTTGACGTCACGCGCCTCGTCGGCCTAGTTCAATCTCGACTTTTGTAGCGTGAGCTACACTGGCCGAGGTTGAGGAGTTTCGTGTGGCTCGCATAATGAGCCGTGCTCCGCAAGCGCGAGGAGCAGTGACGTCACACGGCGCACAGCTGGCGTGCCGGAGCCACCGCCGCCGCGGGTGCCTCGCCGGTCATCGCATTCCAGAGGAGTGATGTCATAGCTGCGGCAGACGCACTGGCGCCGCCGCTTGCCCAGCTGTGTGCCTCCGTTGCACAGTAGCCAAGTCTGATGCTGCACCGGAGCTGCTTGATAGCACCTCTCATTTTGTGTGCATAAGCTCATGCTACGTATATCCTGGCACAGCCAAGCTAAGCCACCGCAATTACTTTTTTTTCAAAGATATGGCCGTCCATTCGAGATATCGTCTTACGAGTTGTGTTGTAGGGATTGTAGTGTCCTGCCTACAGCTCCTGCATTGTTTTATGAAATCCAAATTTCGGTTCACCGCCCTTTAAAAGGTGAACATTAATCTAGATCATCCAAGGTCTTCGGCATGCAACCAAAACCTTGGGTGCAAGGTGCTTGCACCAAAGGCCTGGGGAATCCTGAGAAGGCCGGGGAATGATGGTCTGGCAAAGCTGGGTGCAAAGATTGCTCTGGCTGCATTTGGGTTCATTCGGGTTTTGCATGACCTCTATGCGAACGTTTTTCATTTGAGTGCTAGTAACATTGGGACAGCATAATCTTCAGTGAGTGACAGTTATTGTAGCAGGGAATGCGTTGCAAGTGATGGCATTGGGTGAAACATGTTGTGTGCAGCGGGGATGGAACGCTGACTGCCTTCAATGTGCGCAAGAAGGCCATGGAGCTGCAGTCAGAGCTGTTCGACGACGACTTCTTATCTCTCGCCATACTCAAGGTGCGTGTGGAGTTTGGCGAGTGGCGCTGCTACAGACCCCGAGCCTGTGCGGGCTAAGTCTCACCCACGCCCGGCCGTGCGTGGTATACTTGTGCCCAGGGAGAAGGGCATCCTGGTGGCTTTTAACCTGTTGCAGACATATCTCATTCCCATTTCTAATCCAGACAGACAATTCCTAGCACTGAAAATTGAATGATGCCGGTGGCACTCCATACAATAGCAGGAGAGAAGGGAAACCTGCACATCATGCCTTCTGCCTATGAAGGCGTCGGCAGCAGTTTTCATTTCAGTGGTTTGTGCTGTTAGTTTTCGCACCATTTTATTTTTTTTTACAATAAACACTCGTCTTAAAATAGTCGCTCAAGATTGGTCAGCACACAAGCGTTCTCAAAAATGAAAATAGTTTCGTCCTTTTCTTTTTACGTTTTTTTATTTATTTATTTTTTGGTCAAGGTGATTAGTTTTTTTGTTTGTATTACGTCAGTTTGCTATGCAGCACAGAGATAAAGGTAAAAGTGCATTCCCATATTGAGGGCTAACTCAAGTTGTTTGTTTTGATTTTGCTAGGGATACATTTGATCTTTCAACAGATTCAGGCTAAGTTAATTTGAGGGCCAATCCTTTCTGAGAGGACACCAAGGATGCGGCGCCTTGCCATCTTCCCTCGCATTTCGGCCGCCTCGGAAGAGCGAAGCAAAGGGGCAGACGTCTGCGGTCCCGATGAGAACAGGTTGCTGGCGATGCTCTAATGGACACAAAAGAAAGAGTGAAACGTCACTTGCAAAGTCTGTACTCAGTCTTTTCCGGATTTATTTTACGGGGGAGCACGGGCATCGCTCTTAGCCAGAATTTCATGTTTTCGACCTTTCTTTTTTTTTCGAATCGAAGGTGTTATTTTACGCAGATTCGGCATTTTATGCCCTGAAGTTGCTCGAGTGCTTGTCAAGTTTATTGTTTTTACTCAATGAATGACGCCAGTGTTTTTCACTACGTACAAAATAAGCAGGAAAACCTTACAAGAAATGTTTTCTTGCTTGTTTGTGTACAGTAAAGCGTTGCAATTGATGTGGGCCCATTGGGACCACCCATGGGACCACTGACATCCATTTCTGTGCCCCGCCATTCTGAAGGGGCTGCAATGCATGGGACCTTTTCCTTTAGATTATTATATAAGCTCTACACTGATCTGCCCCTCTCAGTCTCGTTTCTCCCCGGACCACCGACGTCGAAGCTCACAAGTAGCTGCACCTTGTCTCCCGTCTTACCCCCCTATTGTGACCCCTTCCCTTTGCCAGAGGGGCCGCAAGGTGGTGGTGGGAGCGGGCGACGGGAGCCTCAACCTCTTCAACTGGGGCCAGTGGGGCAACATGAGCGACCGGTTCCGGGGCAAGGGGGGCCAGGCCGTGGAGTGCCTCGCCCCCATCTCCGAGAGCATTCTCTGCACGGGCTCGGCAGACGGGAACATCCGGTGGGTACCCCTCTGCCTCTGAGCAGTGTCGAAGTCGCAAGTTGTTTCCCCGTCTGGTTGCCATACGGTGCCACCAGTCCGGCGTCTTCTAGTGGCCAGACAGGAAAGTGCCTTCTGCACAAGCTTAGTTGACGAAACGTCGGGATGGTCCCCGTGACCATTCCTTTGTCTCGATTGTTGTCAACGCTGGGAATGCAAGTATGTGCAGGTATGTTGGGGCGAGGGGCGAGAGTATACTTCCATAGACCTGTTCGACAGCAGGCTGTACTCACACCATACTTTTAACCAAAAGGTTTCCAGGCGCTAAAGGTCTGCCTCCAGCATGCCGTCCAAGGAGAGGTCAATGAACATCTCAGTGAACGATGCCACCGCATTGGAAGGTGTTTGTTACTTGTTTCTGTCGAGACGCCTCCGCCATCTTTCCTTTAGTGGCAAGCAATCTGTTCTGTAATTCTACTACGGTGCCTGCCACTCCGACTACTGTGTTTCACATCTTATTCCGTCGCATCGAGAGCGATCCCAAAGTGGCAACAAATGACCTCGCAAAAGCCGGAGTGTCGTACTGTCGGATGTCACGATCCTGGCAGAGGGTGTAATAGTTCGGTAAAAAAAAAAAAAAAAAGCATGAAGGAACACGAGTGTTGCTGCAGTCAGGGCCTCCCAACTCCTGGCTGCCGAAGCTTCCGTACAGTGTCGGGCTGATGACAGACCTGCAGATGTCTCGTCTGCCATGTCCACTGCCGCGACACTACCAGGGTCATGGCCGGCGACATGACACTTCCGGGATGTCATCAAGTGGAGATCAAGGAAACATTTTTTTAGGAGGCGACACGCGCACCAGACGTAGACATGTTCAAGGCACCATAGGTTCGACCAAATGGTGCGACCGTTTGTTTTCATTATTGATGCTATATTGCCTTCTCATTTTGCACGTTTATGTCTTTGCTGCAAAACACTCGATTGTCCTCGCCAGACAAGACCCGTGCTATGGGCATTTCTCACGAGTTGAAACGTCCAAGTTGTTGCGCATCAAGCGGTGTGTGTGAACTAGCCGATTGTGCGAAACTCTTATTTCACGATACCGATGCTCATAAAACAAAGAAACTCATTGCGTGAACAGTGCAAAGAGGTGAAACTGATACAAGGGTGCGACTTATAGTCCAGAAATTATGGTAGGTTTTCAAACACCAATGTATAAAACTACCCCTCTCCTTATATCCCAACAGCACTCTAAATACACAACCGTTACAGACTTCAACATCATGGTGTTGCGCAACGTCAGGCGCATTGGGAAAACATGTGGTCGGATAATGTTACGTCACGTGACAGTGCTTTCACATTGCACGACATCCATCGTGCCATGGTGTCACCAGACAACACGTTGTAGTGCGACGCTAGCCACCCAACCTGTGGTGCGAGGTCAGGCGAGGTGACATTACAATGTCAGTGTCACTCGAGATCATGGTGTCACGTGTCGCATCATAAACCAAGAGCTGGCACTATAAACGCTATGCATTCGAAGCGTTTCCTCCGGAATAATATTGAGTATCGAGTATGGACCAAATGCAAACGGCGGAGCATGTGGCGTGCGATACATGCCGCATTACCTAGAGGCAACTAGGAAGTGATAAAACTACAAAGGGGGCTGTGAGGGTGCATGTCTACTCCCACGTCCTTGTTGCCCCCCTCTCCAGTCTGCAAAGTTGTCAATTCCTAGTTGCCTCTAGGTTGCACGTCATGTATCGAAGGCCACCGTTCGCATTTCATTTGTACCCAACGGTACATTTTGGAACACTACCATTGTTAGGCTGCACTGCAGCAATGGATGGATGGACGTTAATGGCTATACCCTTTGTAACAAGCGGTAGCTTGCGCCACCTAGCCTAAATCTAAAAAGACAAACGTACAATTCCTCCCGCCCTTTTAAGACCAATTTTTCTCCCCCAACTATCACCAGGCAGTGTGGGATATCACCAGGATGACCTCCGGGGATTCGGGCAAAAAAACCCCTAAAAACGTCACCCCCTGCCTTTACTCCCCGGCGAGGGGGTCGCCAATTTTCCTCTGGTCAAATGTTGTCGGCATTACCCCAGCACCGGACCCACTGGGGGACAGGGTTGAGACTTTTGGACCGGAGCCACGTGGGAGGGAGTCCCAGTTCGCCTCTGTCCCGCCTGTCCCCAGCTCTGCTAGTCAGTTGTTCATCATTAAATTTTCCCTAGATAATTACCACCAACCTTCTAATTGCCTCTTTGTGACTGCGATCCTTTCTTCTTCCATCCTTCCATCGTCTCCAGCAAAACTCAGGGCCCTGGCCAAATCCGTTACCCCTTCAGAGAGGGCAGGGTGAAGCCCCGTGCACTTCAGTACCAAGTGTCTCGCTCCCATCTAATGCAGGGTTGCCAGCATCCTGCCCAACCGCTACCTGGGGGTCATTGGCTCGCACCAGAAGTTCCCCGTGGAGAGCCTGTCCGTGTCGCAGGACGGCGACCTGCTGGCCAGCTGCTCCCACGACCAGGCCGTCAAGTTCTGGAACGTGGCGGGGGTGCGGGACACCCGCGTCGACCCGGGCTCCAAGGGCAAGGAGGGAGACCGGTCGAAGAGCGTGGCGGGGGGGCCGTCCAAAAAAGGCAACTTCTTCGCGGGACTCGCAGAGTAGCGTGCGCGAGCCACGCTGCAACGTCGAGGAGAGGATGATCCAGCCCACATTTCGGATACGACGAGGCGACAGTGCCGTATTTTCTTCGTCGTCCACCAGATATCAGATTGCGGCAGATTGGCAACGCCTCTCTATACGGAGAAATGACGCCGCCGTTCGACGATTGCCGCGTGCTGTCTTGAAACGATTCGGGCAGTGCTACTAGCAACGCAAAAGAGCGAAAAGTAAATAGAAAAGAGTGTGCCGGGGAAGGAAGAATGGCTTTGCTTTCAGAGCGCAGTGGATGCCAAAGGTAGTCACCGATCGAGCAATGCCAAAAGTGCAGTGTCTTCTAGCGCATTTTTCGTGGCTCGCCGACTCGAATGCGGAAAGCATACCATGCCGGTGCTCTCTTTGTCCGTGTTTGCCCGTCTCGTTCCGGCAAACACAAACTCTTCTCCAGTTGGCAAGGGCGCCGGTTACAACTGAAAGCCGACGCAGCACTTGCGTCCAATATCTGCCGTAGGCTTGTCCTCGGTAGGAGACGTAGCCGATACGGCACTGCGCCCCCGTCGCCTAGGAAGTTTTGATCCACCCTTCTAGGTATATGTCCGAGGCGTCTCCCGAAGCGTGTTGTTTTTGTGTTCCAACGGTTCATAAATTAAGACTGTTTTTCATACCCGTCTGGTGTCATTATTTGTGCAATAGCTTACCGCAGAGCTTCTCAAGTGCCACGGAGTCTCGAGAAACGCCCCTCCTTCCAGGTCTCTACGTTCGTACAATGAAGTAGCATGCAAGCGCTCGCACCTTGTGGAGGGTTAACGCATGGGCCAGGGAGGGTTCGGCACATACTTATGCGTCGATGGGTGGCTTGGATGTCCTAAAATAACCATTCAACTGGAAAAACACCATATAAAGGCGAGGAGGAAATGTGAGAGCTTATCATATCATCTCTGGGAGATGGCTCGTGGTAGCGCTTGCCTTTGCAGCACTACCCTTCAGTTTTATTTTCTCGGGGTTCTGGCCTTTTTATAAATTCCAGCCTATGATTAGCTTACAAATAATTATGAAAGAATGATAAATTAAGTAAATTAATCATAAAAGCGGGGTCAAGCACCAAAATTATTGTTTTCTGGATTACTATACGACTCGCGGATTACACTATTTCGTACGGTCCTGTGAAAGTTATAATCGAGTTTCCACTGTACCACGATAATCGTGTGTGGTCTAGGGCAGCCGATGCGAGCGTGAGTGGACGAGAGATTGAATGGAGAACTTTGCCTCGGTTGTTTTAGAGCGCAGCTCTTAGGTGCCCGTTTCCGGCTTGAGTGGCGTCGCCATCGCCATCACCAAGGTCACCCCAAGGTCACGTGACCCCCCTCCCCCGGTTCACGTGACCCCCGAAGTCACGTGACTCCCCTGAGGTCACGTGACCCCCCGATGTCATCGTCACTGATGACGTCACCGGCATCCGCATCGTCATCGTCATCATCACTGATGACGTTACCGGCATCCGCATTGTCATCGTCACTGATGACATCATCAGTGACGTCATTGATGACGTCACCGGCATCTGCATCGTCATCATCACTGATGACATCACCAAAATCCGCATCGTCATCATCATTGGTGACGTCATCAGTGACGTCACCAGCATCCGCATCGTCATCATCACTGATGACATCACCAAAATCCGCATCGTCATCGTCATTGGTATCGTCATCATCATTGGTGACGTCATCAGTGACGTCACTAATGACGTCATCGGTATCCGCATCGTCATCGTCACTGATGACATCATTGGCATTGTCATCATCACATGACCCCCCAAGGTCACGTGACCCCCCCCAGTACCCTTCCCTCCTCCTCCTCAAGAGCTGCGCTCTAATTCGGCGTTACAGAGTTGTAAACGGCTTTCAATTTTTTTTTATTTGCGACACACTGGAAGTTGGCTAACCTTCTTCTTCACACCATTTGTTCTTTCGACTACCCGAATGTCGGGTAGTTGAAAATTAGCTTTCTCCGCTCGACGCCCTTTTTTTGAACCGTAAATGATTGCATGTCATGGGTGTCCGCAGAACTTTTCTCGAGGGGGCCGAACCCTATTCGTCTAAACCATATCTATACAGAAAGTACTACCTTGCCCTTTTTCCCCCGAGAATCTCCCGTTCTTCCAATCTCCCCGAGTCTCTCCCTTTTTCATTTTGATGCCAACGCCTCCTGGGCTGCCCTTCCGACGAGCGCCACGACAGGCGACTGCAGGCAAGCCCTTACTAGATTTGTGTTTTCTGCGCACTTTCGACTCGCAGCTTTTGTGTTTTCGCTAAGGTACGAGTTGCCAGTGTCCTTAACGTCTTTGCTACAGAGTATGTTTTTCCACTGCTTAACGTTTGGAGAAGGCACGCGAGTTTCGTCGAAACTCGCGAGGCTTTGGCCGTCCGTCTGCTCGGATCACTCGGTTCGAGATCGGATGCAATCTTCCGCTTTATTAACATTCATACCATAAAATTTAACTGTGAGACAGACCATTCTCATTTTCTCTTCGGCAGACAGGGGAGCCAAGGCGATAAACGCAAAATAGCACACGTTTCTGTTACCGAATGTAGAGCCGTGATCTTGCGCTGCGAACAGAGCAAAGTACATCATGGTTTCGGTGTTGCTGACTCGGTGGACAGCAAATATCGTCGCTGCCTGTGTCTTTTTACTTCTGCCTTTATGCACCAGAGCGACGATGAGATGAAAAACGTGAATGAGCGTTTGGTAAACATGCCCAAGTGATTTAGTAGAGCTGCGTCATAGCTGCAGTTTGATGTCGTTTTAAAAGCAAAACATGCAACATGCTCCCTACCGATAAAAAAAAAAAAACAAGCTTCGCCGGGCGGCAGGCAACGTAGTATGTATAAGCCTTTTCCAGTATGGACGAAAACATTGTTTTGCTGTCGCCCCCCCAATACAGTAAAACCTCGTTATAACAAAATGCGATATAACAAGCTAATGGATATAACAAAGCAATCATAATTCCCCTTGCTTGCTAATATTGGGAAGAAATGGACATTGGCTATAACAAACTAATGGTTATAACTAGGGCTCCGTGATTTCGGATAAATCCGAAAAACACCCGCCGGTAAAATTTCTGTCAATTCGGATTTATCCGATAAACTCCGAATTGTGATGTGCCCATGCCAGCCCCCCCCCAAATAACAAAAAAAAAAAGCTTTTTTTTAATAATTTGGGCAGTGCAGGATTAATGGTCTTGGGAAAATGACACCATAATTATCTTTCGAACCTCGGACCGTTGTCAAAAGGGGGTCTTACGGCTTGTCTCGTCAAGGTTGGTCCAGGGAAACAGGTCAACGTACCATTCGTGTCAGGACAAAAGCCACTCTTTTGGTTTTCAGTTTGTGCCATGGGGTTTGGGATTTAGAGAAAGGAGAATGTATGTTTCTGGGGGTAACAGTGAAAGCTATGGACCATAGAGATTCTATAAAATAGGAAAGAGGGGAAGTTGAGACTTCTCTACTACGTCCTTAACCACTCCACCTCGCGCGGCCGCGGGATAGATTGATGGGATGACTACAAGCTTCCTTGCGGCTACCTCCGGCAGTTTATCGATTTTAAGGTATCAACGTTTATCGAAGCCACATTTGTGTGCCACTTTTGTCGTGGGACAAATTAGTATTGCCAATGACACCAACGCCAAATTCAAGTGAAGAAATGTTAATTGATAGAAGCGCGTTTTATTTTTTATCTGGGATATGTTTGCATCCAGTTATTATTTATTTTTTTTAATAGGAAACACTGCGAAATTAATCTCCGAATTTCGGAGAATTCTTGATTTACGAAAAATAAACTCCGATAAACACTGAATTTTTGCTAAAAAATAAACTCCGAAAAACACCCTCTGAATTTCAGGAAAAATAAACTCGGAAAGCATGGAGCCCTAGTTATAACGAAATAATTACGACCGCTCCTTCAACTTTGTTATAACGAGGTTTTACTGTAGAATACATTTAGGATATGAGCGTAACCGTCACCCATACTTGTTTTGCCTTCCCTCTATTTTTTTACTATTTGCAGGATGAAATGTTTTATTATTGTTTCATCACTCATACTGGGTATGCCTACTAGGTGGGTGGGGACGAGAGTAGACGAAAAAAGTCTATTGGTATGCACACCGCCGTAGTATGCAGGGCTGCGGCACGGGAGGGCACAAATGGCGAACCGAAACCAAGAGGACGCTCGGCCAATCAGTGGTAGGGGCAAGGGGAACGTTGAAGAGGAGGATTTTTCTAGGGGGTGAGAGTGTGTTAGAGGATCAATCAATGGCACAACTTTCAGTATAAAAGGGCTCTATATTTTTCCAAGGAAGGCAGGTATGCAACTTGCACTGAAGGAAGTGCTGCACCAAATTGTGCCGTGAACGAAAGTCTGCTACATCTTGCACCATTTTTGCTGAGAATTGCGCCACACCTGCACCAAGGTGCAAAATTAAAAATGAGACGCTTAAAAAATCCTTGTAATGCGAAACTAGAGCGCAGCTCTTGAGGAGGAGGAGGGGAGGGTATGCCCCTCCTTTCCCCTCCACCTCCTCCTCATCTCCCCTCCTGCTCCCTCCCCTCCTCCACCTCTACACCCTCCCCCCCTCTCAGTTTCCCCGCTAAATTTAGCTGGAACATTGACGCCACGTGACCTCGACACCACTTCAGTTCCCCCGCTAAACTTAGCGGCAAAAATGATGTTGCATGACTTTGTGTCACATCACCCACGAACAAATTCCGTTTCTCCGCTAGATATAGCGGGAAAATTGACGTTACGTGACCTCAAGACCAATTCAATTTCACGCTAAATTTAGCGGGGCAGTTACGCAGACGGTGATACTGCTATACGCGGAAACGGGTGCCTAAGAGGTGCGCTCTAAACTATTTTCTTATTGGTAGATTTTCATATTCAGAGAAGTAGAAGGAAACGAGAAAGGTACAAATATGTATTTCACAGTGTCAATCCTACCCGCCGTATAGTTTGTATCATCCTGGGTCAGAACACAGTCAAAGGCTCAAGCACGTGCTATCGCAAAGACATACTAAAAGCGCCAGTCAAGCGGCACTCACTGTGCTTGGTTGGTTTAGTTGACAAAAGAACACGCACAGATCGGTGACGAATGCCACGATGTCACGCTTTTGACGCCGTTTGGTTGGTCCCATTGGCTCCTAGCGTCTTTGACTGGAAGGGATGCTGAACCGAAATTTGGATTTCCCAAAATAAGGCCACAGAAGCGTTGAATGGGACACTACAAACTCCAAAACATCTCGTGCTTCGATATCTCGAACAGATTGCTGCATTTCTGCAAAAGAAGGGCGCAATCGAGCGAGCACTATGACCTCACAATCCTCCTGGAACAGTTGAGATTGAGGGGGCTTAGGTTTGCCTGCTCGAGGCTACGAAGCAATGAGGAGAGGGAATGAGAATCGTGACATGACATGCCTCGTTGGCCATGTTCAATTGCGCACTTCTTTTCCACAAATAGGGCCATCAGTTAGAGACATCGCTGTACGAGCGATGTTTTTGGGTTTTGCAGCATCCCACGCACCGCTCCAGTCTTGTTTTGTGAGCTCCGAATTTCGGTTCTGCATCCCTTTAAGATGAAGTGTAAATGGCCGCTCGTCAACTGTGCTCCGGTCG